CTGGTGGAAGAGACTTTTTTTTACCACGCGCACCTTTTTACTGGCATCCGAGCTAAGCAGAGCTAAGCGGTCCAGTGCAGACCCAAGTCCAGGCCGATTGCGCGCTACAGTGTCTAAGCCATGCGGCTTGCAAGGGGCGGTTCAAGGGACGACTCTGCGAGGATGTCGCTCAGCAGCGGGGGTTCTCCATCGACATTGGCTGTACCGCCAAGGGGCACGGAGAGGAGACTTGCAGCAAAGGCACGGGCAGCCGCAAAGGAGAGCAGGGCCGACCAGCGGGCGGTGAAGGCCGAAATGCAGGGACCGCGGGAGGAAGCCGGGGCGGCCCTCGCGCGGAGGCGCGCGAGAAATCTTTCAGTCAGGCCATTGGATTGCCTGCAGAATCATGTCCTGCCTGAAAACAAAGAAAGCGTGCACGTCCTTGCTGCTGCAATCGAAGCCCAGCAACACTATGGTCAAGCTTCGCAAGCCGGAGGCGGCACTATCCCTCCAGCAAGGATTTTCAGCAACGGCTGCTCTCCAAGGACTTGGGGGGTGGAAGCGCACATTGCGGCAGCTGGTGTCGCCAAAATGAAGTCCGCGTTGGAGGCTGCGGCTTGCAAGGAAGACAAGTTGCCTATTGGGAAGGGTTTTTCCTTTGGACCAAGCAACGCCACGAAACGGCCCCGAAACCTTCACAGTACAAGCTGTTCAAAGTCTGAAGGACCAAGCTTGAAGGCATGGTCCCTCGTTTCATAGAAAGTGATGGTGCGGCATTGCGACGGCAGCTCCAAGCCTTCATTGATGAAGATGAAGGCAAGGGATCGGCAGTCCATCTCCTCGTAGACATGCCTAAGCAGGGGGCCGAAATGGAGGTAGACCAAGCGAACCAGCTACGGAAAATGGTTGCAAGGGGCATGTGAGGGTGGCATGTGATGCGTGGACATTGCGCTCAAATCTCTTCAGGAACAAGGGAGACAGGCCCACAGAGAGATGAGCAGTGAAATCAGACCCCATGTGCGAAAAATGGAAATGGAAGGAACTGCACCAAACGGGATTCCATTTTCCAGCGGAAGCGTGAAAAACCCCAAGAGGAACTTCACAGGCTGGGGCCGCGAACACATGGTCAGCGCACCCATAGTGGCAACGAAGGAATACTGGCAGGATGCCCGCTGGCGCCTAGTCTCTCAAAATTGGTCCAGAAGCTTACATGAGTCTTGGGTGCAGTGGGTACGTATTCGAAACGATGCGACAACAGCATGCTGATCCCATTTTCGCCATCATGACCCAGTATTTCCGTTTCCTGCATGAATTGCTGGTGGTGTGGAACAGTTATGGAACCAATCTGCCCAAGGAGAATTGGCGCAATCTTTACCTATTGGAAGAAGCGCTAGCAAGTCCCGCGGCGAAGCACACATGGCGAGGACGAGCCATGCACATTGTAAGTCGGGGCGGCGAGGGAATTGGCGCAAAAGCTCTCGTTCAGTGCGCATTGGGCGTTCCGCTCATGCTGCGATGAAATGCGGGTGGCTGATGGGTGGGCCCAAGACCTTCAGGCCGCGCTCGGAGGATGGCTTGTTGCCCCGCCGGAATCCGCCAAACGTCAGCGCCCAGCTCGGCGATTCTTGGTGGAGGCTCTCCGCCGGCATGATTGTACACCCGTGTCTTGCCCTCATGGGAAGCTATGCCGCATCCTTCCTGCACTTCCTGCACTGCATGCACGGTGTCGCGAGCCTCGCGTGCACGCTCCCGTGTACAATTGACAACTCATCGAGGAACGCCAGGAATCGCTCGGTAGAATGGAGTGCGGACGAGGCCTGCCAGCACCTGGTGTGGGTCCTGGTCCAAGGCCACACGGACGTGGGTCGCCAGTGCATCCGTGCACGCTCGCGCTTGCAAAACAAATTGGTAAAGGCGTGTGGCTCTGTCCTTGCCTATAACCCTTTGCCGAAGCACGCAACGCTAGGATGCCACGCACGCCACTTCTGGGTTGCTGAGAGCCGTGCGTTTGCAGCTTTGCCAGCCGGGTAGCGGCGTAAGCGAGGAGCTCCTAGGCAAGTTGGTCTTGGAGCAGGATTTTCAAATGCTCAGCTCGCATGCCAGTCATTGCCAGTCAACCCTGCCGCTCCGCCGCGCTCCGCAGCCCGCAAAGCCGTTGCGATGGCAGTCGGGCCGTGCTGGAGGGGACGAACTCGGCCGACTGCTCTGTGAAGGAATGTGCGAAGAGGAACAATATCCACACCCGCGACGCAGGGGCTTCGTCGAGGGCCGGCACGCGCTCGGCTGAGTCGCGAAGCTGTTTCAGGGCCGTGGTCAACGCTACCCGCACGGCGGCTCGAGCGCTGAGGGCAGGACTGGCGGCGCATCGCGCAGCACCGCATCGGCACCTACGGCTTATAGGGTTATAGCATGTTATAGCTGCAGGGGTAGGCGCAGCCGGGGGGAAGGCCAGGGCTAGTCCCAGCGCACGTCGGCGAGGACCTCATGCAGCTCCGGCACGGGTCCCTCGCAGAGGGCATCAGTGTGGTGGCAGCTCAAGTAAAGAGGCGGCATAGCGACGGCGAGGAGTCCGGACCAGCACGCGACCCAGGCAGTGATCGCGTTGGAAACAATTGGCAGCCTTGTGCTTGGCGAGCAGGGCCTCGGCGCCAAACCGGCCACCGACCTCGACGCCAACAACGACAAGGCGGCAGAGTCGGGCTCGGGCAAGCTCTGCATGGGTTACGTCTGATGCCGTTTTCGGCGGCAGCAGCAAGGGCGCAGCCGGGATCGACATCGGGGCGGCGGCGGCCGTCGCCAAGCCGCGTCAGGGGCGACACGATAGTAGCATCAATGGCGAGCTGGGAACCGCTCCATAAGCGGAGGCGCGTCGGCGACCGGCACCTCAAGGTTCATGTCGGCGAGGCGGACGTCGCGAGCGACCCTCGCGCCAGCCTCGCGGCAGACACGCGCTACAGCGTGGAGCCCGCGTCGCTAGTACCCCGACGTGGCGCAGGCTGTGCGGTGGCTAGTTGTCATAAGCTGTCGGCGACAGCTGCACCTGCGCGGCGCCAGCGGTAGCGGGAGCCGGAGGCGGCGCAGCAGGAGGACGCGAAACAGGGCACTGGGTACGGTGACGCACGTGTGGGCGCGACGTTGAAGACACGGGCGGCGAAAGGCCCGGCTTGGGACAACAGCAGCAGCTCGCGAGACGCGGGTTGTGAGGTCAGAAAAGTGCATCTCGTACGCGCGCTTATCGTAAGCGTGGGCGGCGAGCCGCTGCCAGCCTTTGAAGGGCCAGCGGTCAGCCGGTAGACCTCCGGGGCATCAAAGCCGGAGTCGCGGTTGCTGCCGCGCAAGGACTGCAGCGGCGGCAGATAGCAAAATGCATTCACCGCGCAGTGCTCTGAGGAGGCGGTCAGCTGCGGCGGGCGCGCGGGCAAGGATGACGGGGAGGGTGTCACGCCAGGACGCCTGGTGGGCTGCGTGGCGGTCGGCGTTGGCACAACGCAGGCCCAGCCCGCCGAACCGTTGGGGTAGTTGGGTGGCAATGGGAATGCGTCACCAACCGAGAGGCCCAATAAGCAGCATCTGCGGCAGCGACTGCCGGGCGCATCCCAAACCACCATCCCGCAAGGCGAACCCAGCCTGCTCCCACTGAGACGCGTCGATCTCTATGCCCGTGAGGTGGCTCAGCGCGGCATGCGCAGCAGCATCGAAGGACACGGCGGCATCACCAGTATCACCAGCCAGCGGTGAGTCGTGCACAAGCTGCGATGCGGCAAAGTGCTCAAAAGATCACCTCTGAACCCAACACCGGGCTGTCGCTGATCTCTGTCGTCGCCGAAGTTGTTCACCGGCCGAGTTTTGCTTGTGATTGCGAAACACGCTGCAACACACTTTGGGAGTAAATCCAGTTTGCGTTCGTCACGTCACCGCGGACAGAGGATCTTGTGGCTCTCTTGTGTGTTCGTGATGAGCCCTGTCAGAGATACGCAGCCCGCGTTTGTGCACGACTGCAAGGTGGAGCATCGGGGTTGATAGACAGCTGGGTCGTGGCGCATGCAGCGGTCACAAATCTCAACGCGTGTGTTTTTGCACAAGCACGATTAAGCACGTCAACCGGGTTCAAATCCAGCCGCTGCATTTCGGGTGTTTGCCACTGCATTGGGGGTAGCCAAGCTTGATGGAAAAATGCAAGGAGAGAAATCAAGGAAAGCCCAAAATGTGCTACATGTTTGTTAGATCTTGGTATCCCACCAATTTCTGGCGAGGCTTGCCTGCACCTTCGTTGCTGCAGGTGTTCTTTGCCGTTCTTTGCCCTTGCATGCCCTTGCCCTTGCCTCATCCGGAGTTACCTTCTTCGTTTCGCCGCAAGAGCAGCTGTCTCTACAAAAAGGCCAGGCTAGGTGCTGAGGGATCAATGCAGGGCTTACAGCCTTGTCTGTACATGTTTACGGCATGTCTCTTCCTTAAACCCGATCTGGTTCTTTAAAGAACTCGGCAGAACATACACTCGCTCAGCTGACGGCTTCTAAAGTTTGCCGCTGGCCTCGCACACGCAGTCTGAACACCGAACAGCATGCTCAGGGCATGTTGCCGTATGACTTGTGCGACTCCTGCGTTAAAACTGATGGGTAAGTCTCTGAGCGCTCTGCATCCACCCAACCCCAAAAACATCCCCTCACTCCGTCTGCATCTTGCTGCACTCTCAGGGTACTCCGACGGATCTTTGGCTGGGCTGTCTGTTTTCGTTATTTGTCGGTCAGGGCTTTGGCACGCTTGGCGTTCAACAGACCAGCACTTGCAGCGAATGGTTCACAGGGTCACTTTACTGAACTGAAACTGCAGCGCCAGTGCTTTTTTTCAGACCGTGCGTGCGGTAGGCTAAGAGCAGCCAATATGGCACCAGCTCACTACACAGTTGACTCATGCGGGGAGGCACAAGAGCGTGCGTGCATAAATTTGCATGTAGTGCTTGCATGCCGCACCGCTTGAAGGGTCTGGGTTTCTTGGCTGACGGAAGATGAAGATTGTGCATGCTACTGCTCTCTCAGCCAGGACACCGTTGCTGCACCCGTGTCAGATCTGTAGAACTCGACTCGATACCTCGCGACAGGCATGCTGAAAAGCCAATGCAAAGCTTGCGATGCTGTGCTACAGCGAGCCCCGGCCTCTCCCCTTTCGATCCTCTGACACACCAGCAATTTTCTCGCTTCGTCTCCTCTGGCCCGCGGACTGTAGAAGACTTCATCGATGTCCTGCGTTGCTGTGCTGGTTTCAGGACGCCTGGGGAGGCGACTGTTTGAGGCAGGGCTGTTCCAGCTTCCCCTGCTTGAGTATGCAAGAACGAACTAAACCTCCTGTCACAGACCTGCAAAAAATCGGATCAGATGAGTCCGCTTGCCACAAAATCTCTGATCTGAAACTCTGTGTAACATACCATCGTTTACCTCAGACATCAACGCTTGTTGCTGATATCAGGCAACACGAGTTCAGTGGTGCTAGCTTGATGGTGCTTGATGTTTGGTCCCATACCATCCGCCGAACCCGCCACGTCCAGCCTGGTGGATGGATGGAAAGTCATCTTCGGCTCTTTGTCTGCAAGGATTTGGAACCTGACCCCGGGCTATCGCGGTCGCTGCACAAGAAGCTACGACATGTAAGTTCTTAGCTCTCCTGGGCTCCGTGCTCTTCCTCAACGTTCGCAGTAATGCGAATAGACGCATAAAAGAGGCCGGGCACACTTGCATCTGCCTTGTCTTGAGCAAGTTGCCATGGTCTGCAGCGATAGTTCTGCCAAGCCGCCTCCATTTCCTCATATTTCCAATCGTTAAAGGTTCCCGTGATGTAGTAGGGGCAACCTGGGACAGCCGCGCTTGCAGGCGCCCTGTGAAAGCTTGCAGCTGTCTCCTTGTCTCGTCTGAGGCTAGCACCCATGTCTGGTACCTTTCCGCCACGCAGACTCTTGCAAACTTGCCACAGCTAATCGCTTACGAATACCAACCTCCTTGTCCTTCTTCCAATAGCTGACGACGCCATCAGGATCAAGCTCAACCTGAGCGCAAGCCGAATAATCGGACTTTCTCTTCAACCTCTTACCCACCTCGAAGATGTCGTTAAACCTTGCGTCCTTGTCAGGACCCCCCATCTCCCAGTCCTGCAGTATATGCATCTCTTCCTGATTCTTGAACGTACAGATTAGATCGAAGGCGTGCCTCCCAGTCGTCCCCAACAATCGTAACCTCCTGGGGAGGTGCATCTTGCATCTTCCTGATGAAGAGGCTGTACAGGTCCTGCAGTCGCTATACTGCATGCTCCAGCTCCAGCACAATGAGAAGAGACTTTCTGCGTTGCAAAAGTCTGCGTGCTGCATGTAACAGCACGCAAACTAAAAGCATACATGATTGAAGCGGGCAGCTCATGCCCCAAGCTGAAGAAAGAATCCAGAACACTGAAGCAAACTCAATCCTTGCATCCGTGCTGTTCAACTCAAGCTAGCATGACAAGAGGAAGCTTCCACACAGCAACTGTGTTTTGACAGCTCCTGCTGCAAAAGGAACTATTGCTGCTGCCGGTGACAAGGTCATAAAATTGACTGAGTGCATCCAGGACTGGCCTTGTTTGTGCCAACTCCTCTCGATGTTATTTGGTTGACACCCCAGACCTCGGTGATCTCAACATCGCACGTGTCTATTCTTTACAGTAAACATGTCTCGACAGTCAAGATGCGCCTGGCCTGGACAAAACACCAGGAGATTACCACAGATTACCAGCGATGCTCGGACAGAACGAAAGACGAGCGGGTGCCCTCTATTTTGTGGATGCGACGGTTCACCGCATGGGCTTGTTCAAAAGGGGCCAAGCAGTGGTACCATGCATTCGTGCGTTTGAGTCATTTCTGTCAAACAGATCGCTAAGAGTAGGTTGGCTTCTGCTTAAAACACGGTACCGGCAGCTAGCCAGTGCACACGAAAGCCGGATCAAAACTTAAAACACAACCAAGGCAGACATGGACATTTAGCACGGTGACCCAGCACAGAAAATCCGACACTATCCAAGGTGCTAATGCTTGCCTCCTCTACCTCCTCCCCTCCTCCTCCTGCTCCTCCTCCTCCTCCGCCTCCCCCTCCTCCTCCATCTCCTGCTGTTGCAAGCCTCCACCGCCATCTGCGTTGCAGAAGCGACGACGTGCGATTTGTGGGAATACGCCGAGGTTCACGCTGTAGCACAAGCATTCGTCCCACCGAAGCCGAAGGACAAGACGCCATTGTACGAGGCCTGTCGAGATGCACTGGTGCGAACAGGCTCACACCATCAAGCATATGGCATATGCAAAAACACCTCTGCACGGAACGTGACATTCTCTGTCGTGATGATCCCAGGAAAACCAGTCATGTCCAAGTGCCTCCGCAGAAACTGCACTGCAACGTGGCACACCTGGAAACAGTACTGAGGGCAACACGGATTCAAGCAGTTGAGGTGGCAGTTGGGTGTTGCTTCGCCATACCTTGACTTTGACCAAGCAAGAATGCACAAGGTGACTGGGCAAAACCCAAAACAGAAGCTAATATCCAACTTCTGAAGTCTAAAGTGTCCTAATGTGGCACGTCTCCAAGGTAAGCTTCATTACCCGCATCGTCATCTCAATGCTTTCTGGACTGAGCATCCCACAAGCTCAACAGCACACACTTCAGGAATCCAGAAATTCCGGCACTGCCTCACCACACGTTTGCAAAGTGATTCGCAGAACAGCTCGGAGCATTGCCGAGTGCGCAGAATCGCAACCTTGCCTTCACAGTGACCGATGTTGCTCTTGGAGGACGTGATTACCACGGGTTCGTGCCTTGCACGAGAAAGGAGATGTTGATTCTTCTTTTTCGATCGGCATTTCATTGGTCCCTGCCCCCCAGCCTTGGTACAGAAGCCATGACCTGCACCAAATGGACCCCTTTAGACGTTTCCAAGAATTGCCAAGTGCAATTCTGCTGCAATTCTGCTGGCCCGTGCTGGCGCCTTCCTGTAGGCACCAATCTCGATGGGATCTCCCAAGGAAGTGCCTGTACCGTGGCCTTGTAACGAACAGATTTGGCTCTTCGACACGTGCTGCAACGTCTCAGTGCTTGACACTCAGTGGTGTCAATCTCCGGTGGCTTCACACCGATTTCCTTCATGACAGCCTGTCCCCGGATTCATGACAGAAGCCGCATGAGCCAAGGACCTCGTATCCTGTGGTAGCAGAATCGCAACACGCTGGTCACTGGACCGACCATAGAGAGCCAGCCTGTGCACATCTTTCCTGCGCTGGTCCGTTCGGTGCAGTCAAAGAGGCACTGCGCCCGTCCTTTAAGAAAGTCATGCAGCGAAGCAAATCTCAAAAGAATCGTTCCTTTACCGCGTCGCACACCCACCTGGTTCACTTGGCTTCCTGCCAAGAGGCAGAAGTCGCCCTGCTCCCTGGTGTGCACCATCGCATCGATTCACGAATACGAACAGAAGATATGTCGAGGCCTTTCGAACGGCTTTAACTTCAGGGCAGTGGATGCCGTAGCCTTTGGTGGGCCATCGGTCGTTACATGTCGATACCTTTCAGCCCCTTTCTCCATCTCGCTTCGGCTGAAAGGCCTCGCCCCTAGTGTAGCCGTCCGCCGAGAAGTTGTAGGTGAAACAGCGACCAAGGTGAGAATGCATGCCTGCCGTGGCCAATCGCATGGCCACAAAATTTTTCAAAAGAGCGAAGGCACCCCACTACTGATGCCACCTTGCCTGCACCGCACCCGCTGACGTACGTTAATGGGCTCAAGCTCAGGTTGACGCCACAGATGACTACTGCCTGCCAATGCAGCGCTCGTGGTCATGCATCTTGCAAAATTCGGCGACCCAGCATGGCAGGCGCGCTGCTGCGACACTCAACACAAATACACAAGATTCACAAGATGCTGTCAACGGCAGACGTCCTTTTTCTGCACTTGCCGATGCTATTCCCTGTCCAGGACCTCGGCTTAACTTCTGGTCGTTACTTGCATTCGCAGGATTTCGCAGGATTTCGCAGGAGCCCACACAGTCAGAACATGTGACCCGGTCTCGGCCGCAAGCCGCTCGTTTTTTCGACTTTGTCCTCGTGGTAGAAACTGTACCTGCCAAAAGCTCATGCACTATATACCCTTGCATGCAATGAAGTCAGCACAACGAAGTCATCAACAGCAAGACACGCCTTCTGAAGATGTTTGGGGTGGCTCATCCCGTCGGGACTCTTGCGCCATGGCGTATGTCCACGTCGACGAAATTCCCTGACAGGCGTAGCATGCAGACTTGCCTGCACAAACCCTCCTCGAAGTTGAATGATAAGTTTGTCGTCGCCTGCACTTGTCAGAAAGCCATCATCTCTGCTCTGAGAAGAGCTACTTGGAATTGTGGTTCAAACAGGTTTACTTCTCGTGGCCCATGGCACAGCTGGACGGCGACGGGACACCAATTTTACAGATCTGGTGAATGCTCTGCCGTATTCTGGCATGGCCCTTGAAACAAGAAAGCCACGACAAGCCTGCGTTCTTCTCGATTTAGGCTTTCAAGGACAACGTATGACAACGTTGGACTTCCACGATTGCGGAAGAGACTTCCAAGGAGCTGATAAGGTGCGCTTCACATAGACCTCGCATTACCTACACCGGATAGGTACTACTTAGGCAGCAGCAGGCACGGAGTTTGGAAAACTTCGGAGTCGCACGAATCGAAATCCCTCCACACGCCACCAGCACGTAGCACCTGACCTGCTCCTAGCCCTTGAAACATGTCAAAGACACTGCAGATCGCGAGCCTCAATTCCTGCCCCTGCTGCCGCAGAAAGACCGTTGTAGGCACCTGGTCAGGACGTCTTGGCGTGTCTGCTTTCCGGCTTGCGTTTGCTGGCCTTCCATGGCAGCCAGCCCCTCGTTCACAGCCGTTGTGACTGCGTCAGATACCACCATTCCACCGTCGACCGCTGAAGCGAAAGCGGATGCCATTGAAATTCCAGCTTCTGGCTCCTCTGGCGCGGAACCTCGGAAAGCGTTGATTAGTGCTGCACCACCCGGCATGGGCACCAAGTTGGCGGCTTAACGTCGATTTGACATCAGAGGACTTTGCAAAGTAGGCCAGCTGCCTGAGCATCTGGAGCTGGTGAGCCAACAAGATGCAATGCAGCCTGAAGCACCCGAGTCTGCCAGCAGCGAGTGAACTGCCCCTCCTCAAGCCCACACAAATACTTAACCCCGAACCGACACGACTGAGCTCACACTTTTGAAACCGGCATGCCTGACCACCTCCTGCTTCCCCGAACCGCCACGTTGACAAAGCTTCGTCTATTCGATCCCCAGGGACGTTCGAAACTGCAGCCTTGCCGAAGATCCTTCAAAAGCCAACGACCGGCGCCTGCCACATCCTGCTCTGGACCAGAGTTTGGCAAGAGCCCGTGCATGTGATGCACACATGTGTCAGGTGGCCTGGAACTAGCTGATGGACTCCCGTTTTCGTCTCCGACTTTCCTGGTGCCTGCACGTGGTTCACACATGCCTGCACGATTGCTGCAAGCAGACTTGGCACACATCCGCAAACACTCCTTGTGCCACAGCTCGACCGTCAAAGATGGCATTCCCGCACTTCGTGGATCCAGCCGGAAATCGAAGCTCTCAAGCCACTCAACTTTGCCCCAAGTGCCCTTGGTAACACACAGACATCGTGGTATCAGCAGGCAACCCTAGAACTACGAGTGACAGAAAAGTGTTGCTTAAGTGACCAAAAATCTGCGTGTTGCTTCAACATCTCCGGACCCACTTCGTCCAGTACTTCGGCTAGGTCGCTGTCCTCTATCCGGTATTTCTGCAAGATTTGGAGCTTCCTCTGCAATTCAGCGTCGTTGTGCGGACTTTTCTGGCTTGTCCTTCGAGGCGTAGATACAAGTGGGCAGTGTGGTCAGAAAGCGAAGCTTCCGGGTTCAAGGAATTCCAGGTGATCAGAGACAGAGCACTCAGATTTCTTGATGGCAGACGGAACTATCAAAAAACACAAAACTGGCTTGGTCTTATCAAGGCTTTCCATCACAAACCGATATGATCTTGGTCCAACCATGCTCAACCAGGCTTTCCGGAAGCGGAGTAGACAATATCAACAGAGCCTGCGACGTTGTGTAGAAGAACTCGCTAGGTGCTAAGATGGAATCATCAGAATCAGGCTGGACGAGTTGCAATTCCACCGCAAATCCCGTTTTTTTGGACAGAAACCTCTGGATCTGCAGGTCGTTGATGGCCCTCTCGGGGTGCCAAGAACGTTCCAACCGCCCTCGCAATGTAGGACATGTAGGACATAAACAACCGCATCTTTCTGCCCAAGGGGCTGTCATACGATTCTCACGAGATTCCTGCGTGCTTGCTTGTGGTATGCATAAGACACCATTCGGACAACAAAACTTGGTAGCTCTTAACTGGGACCATGACTAGCGAACATTGGCGAACTCAAGCGAGGCGAGCCCGATCCCACAAGATTGAAAAACGCAATCCCTAAATCAGAATCCTACACCCCAAGCCGGCCATGGAAATAAATAAACTTGGACGCAAACCAAGAGAGACAGACGACCTCGTCGTCTTGCCGGCACTGCCAAGCTGAAGGACAACCCAGAACACACCGTCAACGCGCGGCACCATTGCCGAGTATATGCCGACCTTGGAAGCCGAGCCAGCATTGGAGGGCTCAGTTGGGCTTTGAGTTGTGAGGTGTATCAAATGCGGAATCTTCTTGGAAGGAAAACCTCCCTGATCCGACCGACAACCTGCGGGATGTAGGCGTGCGGAACAGGGTTGCGTCGTTGGCTTGGCTCTTTTTTTCTTCCAGCACAAGTTGTTGTCCAAAGTCTAACGCCTTCCTACAAAGCACAAGGAGCACACATGAAATCCGAGCGCAAGACCCTGAAACCACAGCAAAAGCCTTCAACTTTCCATCGCCCAGGAACCTCGAACCCCGAACTTCAGACCCTGAGCCAAAACGAGTAACGGTCAGTAACGGCCACGATGGTATCAAGCCGTTCCAACCCATCTTCGAGTTCGTAAGCTCACTGGCACGGCTTTGTGTGCAAGCTAGCTTGCAAACAAGCTCCGTGTCAAAGCAACACGATTATCCCACCGAGAAACCGGTCCACCTCAAATGTGAGCAGCCGCAAACAGCACCGTGTTGGTGTTGTTGTTGATGATGACGTCGTCGTTGTTGTTGCTGTTTCTGTTACTGCTTCTGCTTCTGCATGCGCTTGCGCTTGCGCTTGCGCTTGCGCATGCGCTTGCGCTTGGGCTTGCGCCTGCGCTTGCGCTAGCTTTGTTCATGTGCTTGTGGTTGTGTTGGGCTGCTGACGGTGGTGCACTTTTGCATCGTTGCGCCTGTGTTGCTGTTGCTGTTGCTGGAGTAGCAGTAGCAACAACACTGAATTGCGGTGACTTATATATGACCTCGTCCAACATATACCCTTGCAGAATCTTCGACTAAGAAGTCAGGCTGCCGAAAGACCCTTGCAGAATCTTTGACTAAGAAGTCAGGCTGCCGAAAGAAGTGCTGGTGGGGCCTCCTGCATCTGCAATTCTGCTACGTTCTGGCTGGAGCTCCGGTGGTGGAAGCTTCATGGCAGCACAGTCCTCCTCCTGCGCGGCATGGACCGGCCACCAGTCGAAGCTAACGTTGATAGACTGCTTCGATGCAGGCGCGCCGATGCTCGGATCCGTCGACTCAAGCGTGTAGGTTCGAGCTCCTTACATGAAGATTGAAACCCGGTGCCGTCTACTATCATGATGATGCTGGTGATCGTGGCTTTCAGCTCTGCTTACCGTAAACCAAAACCTGGCCCAGCCACCATCTCGAGCGGCACTCACAAGGTCAGCAGCTCGCAGGCTAAGGAAGCCGAGCAGTTCATAGGAAGCAGCCTGAAAGGCTGCGAACAAAGAATCTATGACAGCATGTGGTAGGATGTCCCACACTTCGCACTACAGTCTGAGCGACTGCAGGAGAGTTCTGCTGATCCCACACGCAACTGCAACTGATTTACCCCTCCAGCAACCCTCCTGTAGGCCAACCAGGCAACCCAGTCTCTCGACAGCTTCACCAGAAGCCGCTGGTGAGCGCACGCCCGCACCAGGACGGGCAAACGACAAACATCGTGGAGTGAAGCCGAGCGCGCATCCAGCTCGCAGCAAGCGGAGTGAACATCAGATCCAAAGATCATCTCAATGATGTACTTGCCTGCAGACCAAACAAAGATTTTCAGCCTGGCCTGCTTTGCCCGTTCCCCTATTCTGCGTACCTACATGCCTACCGTCGTCCGTGGTTCCGAGACATCCTCATTCACTCAGCACACTGCGCAAGGGCCTTCATTAATTCGGCATGAAATAGTCTTGCAAACACCTGCCTGGTTCTGCAAGTCCCTTGATTGAGGTGATCTGAAGGATGAGAATGCCTTCAACACTCGGCCGCTTTACATCCAGGATGTCAAGGCTGCTCGTCCAAGAAAGGCCCTGGCAGTTGGGAAAGACCATCTTCTCTGCCCACTTCTCTGAGATGGCTTGAAAAATCATGCGTTTCAGCATTGCGAAATTCACAGCTGTGGCTAATTGGCCGCGGTCGACATCAAACTGGATATCCTTGGTTCAGGCTGGGCAAGGTGGGAAGCCACATGATGCCGCTGCACACCACTGCACCCCATGTCAACTTTTTGCATTGAAGCAGCTGGCGGCGTTGGAAAGAAAACGCGGAAACCCGAGAGCAAGCTTCGAAGGGATCGGGATCCGCCAGAAGAGAGCAACAGTTCGACGATCAGATTTCCAACGACTCTGAGGTTTACGATTCCCAACGTGGCTCCTGTAAACATCAAGTAGACCGAACTGTCACTGTCCCATTCTAATCGCAAGCTTATGGTGAAGCTTGTAGGACTCGACCAAGATGCATGCGGCGCCAAGAATCGCAAGGGCCTTGTCCCTAAAGTAGAGCGCTGCAAGTCCACACTGCACTTGTTGAGAGGTGAAGGCAGCTTGCTTAAAGCCATCCGTATCGAGGGTTCCAGTTGCATTGTCAGCTCCCTCGTTGTGTTTTCTGCCACATATGGCCAGAGGTGATCCAACATACGATTAACAGCAACATTGTCTTCTGCGACCGGCACCGATGTCGCGGCTGCCAGCTGCTGCCGCAACCTCAGGCAGTGAATGACTGCTCTCATACTGTGAGACCTCTCATGTCTCTGCTCCTATCTCTGTCAAACGCACAGACACGGCACCAGCTCCTGCAAGAGATGCGCAAAGGGTTGGATGTACATTCGCACTTCACATGGCCATGTGATGTGCCTCCCTGGGCTCCTTAGCACCACCTTACTTCCAGTGACGCCGAGCACTTGTCTGTGCCCTTGCATGCTTCTTCAGTCTTGCTAAGCGTACTATGCGATCGACCATTTCAAAACCGAATCCACCTTGCAAGTGGATTTGAAGCATACTTCTCCGTCTGAAGACAAGCTGCAAATCGCATTCTTTCCGCAACCTCGAGACTTCCAGTGATGTAGTGGACATGCAGCAGCCCATGGCATCGTTATCTTGTATTTTCGGGAACAGAAAGAAGGAGATGAAGCAGCTGTATTGGTAACAGTATGTCGCCCAGGACTCTTGCCTTGGCATTCCTTGAGCATCGAGCAGTCCGAGCACCAGCTTGGAATTCATAGCTCAAGAACTGACAAAGCATCCAAAACCCTGCCTCGCACGGGTCATAGTGCTTGTGAAGCAAATACCTCACAGGCTCGAGCCAGCCCCAGTCTACCACCTTGCATTGTTCAAGCAGATGGGGCTTTGGCAGCTTGGCTGTATGAGTACACACCTGTTGACAGAAGAAGGCACATCCGCAAGGAACGTTTGTTTATCCCAAGTTCCGAACTAGCGAAGCAGAGCAAGCTGTGTCGATCGTCATGCTCGCACCCTGGGTCAGACCGGGCTGCGTGCAGATTCTGCGAATTTTGAATTGTCTCATCGCCCACAGTGGACCTTCAGGTTCATGCAGTAGTTGAAACGGTTGGCAGTGATTGCATTCGCTCCGCTTGATGCGGCGAATCCACCAGAAATGTCCTGCACAGGGCGGGCCCATTCATTCAACCAGGATGCTCAGAAACTCGTCTGAACCTCAAACTAGCCAAAGCACGGGAGCGGCTCGCAGTAAGCAACACTTGGAAACATCCACAAGCGCTACAAACACTACAAAGACAAAGACAGTGGTTCCGTCTTACGAAGACAGACAAACCAGACCAGATTGTCCAAGCTAAGGCCTGATTCACAATCGTAGGCGTCCCAGCTCTTTTGAATCTCTTCGGATTGCATCTAACAGCGGACAAACTATGTGCACTCTCGGAGTCGCCACTCAGCATGTCTCCTTCGGTATGCTGTTCCATTCATTCTTGTCCAGCCCAACAAAAACGCCAATGTTGGCAGGCTTGGCCTTGCAGGGTTGCTCGCGTGTTCGACACACGGCATAAACGGCCCGAATGGCCTGGAGGCTTTTCTTCGTCCATCCAGCGCCCTGCAGGGAGATGTAAGAGACCTGGAAGGAGGGAAAGCAGTCTTCCCCTTTCTTCTTTCTTTCGTTCGCCCGAAAGGTTGCCTCTAAGACCTGGCGCTGCGTCGGATCCATGCCTGAAGGCCCATCGGACTGCCGCGTCTCTCCTCACGCGCGGCCCTCGATCCGCCTCTGGCTTCAGCCGGAGAAATATCGAAGAAGCGGCAGTCAAAAAGTTCTATTCCTCAGGGCCAGCGCTTGATCTCAAACCGAACGGCGACACGTGACCTAGAGACCATACACTGGCTTTCAGCATGATGTTTCGACCCGTGTGGAACAACAAGACGACACAAGCCAAACCCGGAAACACGCCTTCCTACGAATTCACGAGGCAGCTCCAACATGCTGCCACGTGATGGTCTGATCAACAGAGTTTCGAACGCGCTCTTTTCAAGCTTTGCGATCTTGCAGCGCCAAGACCACAACGAAAGCTAGGGGCGTGCCTATGTGATTGCATGGGCGTGGACTGCTCCTGACGACAACCTTGAAATGGGTTTATCTCACTCCACAGGTTGCAGACATGCCAGCCCGACATCGCCACGCTTCCTGATTACGGCTACACGGCTACACCACCCGAATGCGGTGCGAAGCAGTTAGTACGGAACCTGCTGCCGCACGGAGTACACTCTTCGTTTCGTTTGCGACCTATCGCTTTTGACGCCTCGAGCACCTGTCTTGCGCAGAGCTGACACGAACCACATGAATTTCTGGGAGACCGCGCCATCAGAAAAACCACCATGGCAAGTGTAGGACTTGCCAGATGTTTGATCTGCGTCAGGGTCGTAATACATATCGCAGTCCCATCTTGATGTGGGATGCCTGGCAGATTGAGACAGACGCTTTCCATATGGCAATGGACAAACTGCGATGGACCTGACAATGGTGTCCCAGCCAGCTTTCGCGTAGGCCACCCAAGTCTTCCATGGCTCATCTACGCCAAAGGCATATCTCATGCCCATGGAAACCACCTCAAACAGCGGACCAGCTGTGCATGCAGAACAGTGCGAGTTGTCCAGAGGACCCCAAGCCGTGGACAGGTACTGATTCTACCTTTGGCTGCGAGGGCCCGCTGATCGACTTGGCACAGCCAGGCACCATGACTTGCGATGCCGGCACTCGCAAAGTTCAGCAGCTGACGCCCGTCAAGAATGTGAGGTCCCCGGTGATGTTATCAATGACCTCGGCATTCCGGGACACACTATCTTCTCCAAACATTTTCTGAAATCTCTGCCAGCCGAACACAAAGGATGCGACATACTCGCGAGGAGCATCTAAAAAGAATGCAGAAAGCGACAAAGCTTTCCCATCTGAACTGCATGCAAACTTGTACCTCAGCAGCGAGACGTAACCGCAAGCAAAAGCCAGCAAAGCTTGACATTGCAACGTTGTGAAGCGCCTGTCCATGCTGAATATACAAAGCATTCCCGGCTGGATGGTAAGCTGTGGCCTTGGTACCCCGAGTCATCTCTCACATTCCGAAACAATCCCCGAGGCAAGAACTCCACAGGATCCTGATCAGTGATGGCCTTTGGGGTCAGTGTCAGCACGCTGGCACCGGGCCTTGTCGAGGCCCAGCCGTCTAGTCTCCATGAAACGCAAGTGCTGGTGCTTTCTTCCGAGAATCAAGCCCAGAATTAATGAGGATCATGACCTTTGCTCGCCACCTTTGGAAAGAGCTGCCGAGTGACGCGTGAGAAAAGCATGACGACAGATGCAGGGCTCACATCATCGAGAGGAAGCTGGCAGCTTCTTCGTTTTCCAGCTCCGGGGCGGAGTAGAGATCCTGCCAGCTGCGCCGCAACGCCGCTACAGTACACGCCATGTCGAACTCTGGCTCGGCGGGAGACCTGCGATGCTGTGATGTCAACGTCTTCGGAAACTGGTCTCTACTTCTACACGTTTATAGACTTTATAAAGCTTCTATTTACAGCAATCGGACGCTGCTGGAGGAAGTCCAGAAGAAGAAGCGACTCTGGCTGCACAATTGGAGCAAGAAAAATCATGTCGTGCGTAAAGTGTGAAGTCGACTTCCGCGTGCAGCTGTACGACATGCTGCAGCTGAATCATGACCAAACTCCTCATCCTCGCTGAAAGGCAAAGACATCATCGTACCTCTGCAAGCTGCATCGCTGTGACGAACACCGGAAGGCTGCAGGCCGAGAATGGAGCACTTTCCCTCTTTCGCATGCACGCGTTTACGCCCAGGACACGTGCTAACTGCATGTGAACCATCGGTCACCTGGGCGATCGCCTTCACAGGCTGCGCTCAACGTGGACACGTGTCACAACACGCACCTACAGTCTCTCCATGCCAGCCGCGCATGTAAGCACCCCAGGATCTCAACAACGTCGCCTCATGGTCCATGCACCAACTAGGGTGTGAAGAATGTCTCTCTCACACGTTGGCTTCCGGGTATAGGATTGGTCTTCCAACTAGTGGCGGCACGCTCATGCTTGAATTCCGATAAAGCATCGGACCGACGTGCCGACTGCCTGAAGTTGATTTCCAGAAACCCGGTCCGCTCTTCCTTGTACTTTTTCGTCGGAAGGGTATCCAGTCCAAGTGGCTGCGCACGGTCACGCCTCTTCCTTGCTTTCACGAGCTCCTCCTGGAGGCGTTCTCTTTGTGCAGCCGCTTTGGTGAGCTCTCGCGACAGGGATGTGCCTTTCTTAGACAGCTGATGCAAGGCAGCTTCTGCCGCATTGCTCCGATCCGTCAGCGCGGTTTTCAGCCGCTCTCCCTGAAGCTTCAAGTCTGCCTGCTCGTCTTGCGACCAGTCATGCTCCAGCGACTTCTGGAAAGACCAGAAGCGGAAGGCCTCTGATGCTGCTTGCAAAGCTTCCCCTGGAAGCAAGCCGAGCAAAGCAAGTTCCTTTTCCTTTCCAGGTCTGTTGAAGTCCACTTTTATAACGCGCACAGCCTCTCCGGTCTGGCAAACCGGGCATTCCATGTGCGATGGGAACCACATCTTCGCGTGCTCCTGACAAAACACGTGTGAGCAGCTCGTCAACCAGCCAACTTCCGTACGACACCCGCAAGCTCTTCCGGACTGCATGAAATTACAATGGATTGCGAAGATATTGCCTGCGTCAGAAGCCACGCCATCTTCATTCGTGCGACTTGCCATGGCCATAAGTGAAGTGTCGGCACGGCAGAGCCAATCCCTTCAAGTTCACAACTCGAGCCAGCTGAACAAGTCTTGGCGTGACCTTCTCTGGACTTGCAACGGAATTTCTCAAAGCTGCCTGATCAGCCTGTCTTGTTGCTACCCCTGCAGTTGACTTTCGGAAGTGGCTTAAACAAAACTCTGTGCGGAACACAGCCGCACAACCGAAAAACTCCGGATCCTCCCTGTGAAAGCATGCTCGGCGAAGCAGAACTGCCCCGAGCACTGCTGCGGCTGTAGATGTCGAAGCCAAGCTCGGTTTCTACGAAGGGTCGCAGCAATGTACCAACCTGCAGAATGCCAAGCGAATGTCGAATGGGACCGACAGGAGTGCGGACCAGGGTTGCGACAGTCTCAATGGCATCTTCGAAGATTTTCAAGGGCGACCTCAGGTTCTCTTCGCGGCCAACTGACCAATGGAGCAAGCGGACATGCAAACAGACACTTGAGGCCGAGGCTCCCGTAGAAAGTCAGCTGTGTCGGTGCTTTCCAGATCGACGGACAGTGTCTTTCCCTTGCCCTCCTCTCTGCACTGCTCACAGCGCACGGCTGCAGTCTCCTCGCTGGATCGCTTGGCCGGTCCTTGCCCAGGTAGCCTGTCTCGAGTTCAGGAGGCAGTCGGGAAAACGCGCCTCCCTCAACGCACCTGCCAAGCGCAGAGTGTACAGGACAACTCAAAAACAAAGACAGTGATCTAGCTGATGGTCCAATCAGCCACAAAATCGAGTCAAGTCAGTCAAGCCCGGCGTGCTTTAACGAGGCAAATGAAGCGTACGGACGTACTTTGGAATGAAGGCTCGTAAAAGCTGCACTCTGGACGCCGGAGATGCGCCGGGCCTGATTCTACTTAAAGGCCACGAGAGGGGCATACTGACGCAAAAACAAACTCACAAGCAGAAATCGAGCAGTAAACAAGAAAAAACACTTGCTGACCGTGTGCAGTGTTCAATCTTTTTTTGCTTGGAAACCTTCTGGTCCATGAGCCCTGTCATGTGTGCAGCAACACACCCCTGCTTCATCTGTTGCACTCAAACTCCTTAGAATCTGGTTCCCTTGCCCTACACCTACAGAAGCAGTGGCCCACTCCCACCAACTACAAATGCCCAGGTGTGATGATATGTAAATTCAAACTGAAAGCATACACATCCCATCCATACTTCTTACTTCTCTCAATGCATTTTGCTACATCAAGCTCTGCTTGAGCCCTCGACTCAATAAAAGCCCGACTTCAAATTGAGAAAATTCAATGCCAGGAAGATTGCAAGAAGCCGATCCCCATAAGGGCAGCATGTTTATACGCCAGACTCCTACAGACAGGACGTGACACCTAGCCAACGCTTGTCGTAGACATGCACGATCATCATGCTGCCTGTCTGCTGTGTTGGCCATCTCTGTCAAGTCTTCTGGCGCAACGAAGAGTTTGCAAAGCGCGTACCTCGTGATGGGATTCACAGAGCCACTGAGGCGCCATACTATAGGCCTGTGGGTGGAGCGCACCCTTTCTGCGACAGGCTATCGGTAAGCTCTGCTCCCATAACACCGGTATCTGACCTCGCGGGGAGGGGTGAAGGGGAGGGGAGGGAGGGCGGGGCGGGGAGGGGAGGTAGGGAGGGAGGGAGAGAGAGCGAGAGAAAGAATCGCATAGATCCACACGCCGGTCCCAAAGCGATGTCGCAGTCTGCAAGGTCGTCTGTCGTCAAGGGCCTGCGCAGGATTGCCAACAAGCGATGTTCGAACTCGGACACCAAAGCAGTGAGCCCCGCCTGATGTTGGACTCAGGCACTGAAACCTGAGCACATGTAGGTCAGCAAAGCAGCTGCGACTTGGAACCATTAAAGTCCGTGGCCATGTCTGCAGAAAACGTGGCGACAGTCCATTCGCCGGTTTCATCGCTGAACTCGATGAGCTGGCCCTCTGCACAGAAAACGACAAGCGCCAGCGCTCAGAAAATTTCAGAAAACAAACACTTCTGCGGATCCTGAAGCATCGGACTGAGGGTCTCAGCAACTTTTCTAGGACCTGCACGGCCTGCACAAACCTGCGCTAGTCGGAGAAACTTGGAGGGGAGCCGCCATCCCCTGCATCCTTCGGAGATCTTGCCCCTTCAGAGGAGAAGCCAATGTCTACAGTACGGAACGAGACATAAGTTTATCATTTCCCTGTTCGGGCCGCTTGTAGTTTCTGGAGGCTCTGGGGTGTAAGGCCTGTGGCTTTTCGGTACGTTCCGGGGACTGCCGTGTTGCCGCGGTTTCCCGCTGCGGCGATGTCCGTTCTTGCCGCTTGCACCATGCGACATCTGGAACTTCCGCCAAGGCATCTGTGCTTCCCACGTTCTTCCCTGTTCACGGGTTCGCTAAAAACCCACCTTCTAGGCAGATGTCGAATGCATCTATCTAGAAGCGGCATCCATGTCACAATGTGGACAGTCTGCAATGCTAGCCTGCTGGCCATTGAAGTCGCGGGCTCCTTTGTCGCCATCTTGTCTCCAGCGCTCTGAAGTAGCCTTCGGCGCCTGCAGCAACTGTAGTTTCGTCTCCGTGCAGTGAGTGAAAAACACCGGGTAAGAAAGCGCCTGAAGCCCGTTGATCTCGACCAACTGACCACGTCTGGCCAAGACAGAGACCATGTCATGGCTGCTCGTCACTGCACCCAAAACATGCCAGTCGTGCATGAGCCGGGCGACAGAGGGCATCTTCACGACGTAGCCTGGACTATTCAGAACGAGAACTGAAAAAACCGGCACAGTCAGATAGGCGGCCAAGGCACGAGGCCCGGATCACATGTCGGCTCTAACCCCCCTCTCCAAGAGAGAGTGCTGCGTGGCCGCGGGCACGGTTGGGTTCCTTTCCCTTTGAGGACATGATGAAGCTTTTTACACACGGTAGCCACCTTCGAAAGAATTTTTGCACGATAATCAGGTCTGAGATTTCCTGGTTTGCTGCAGAGTATGTCTGCGTGGCCAAACGCGGGGAAAATCGTGACCACGCATACTCGCATGAAAATTGTGATGGCAGCAACTCTTAATTAGCCAAAGGGCAGCTTTTAAAGCTAGTCCACGGCTGGTCGGTTGGACTACAGACAGGAACATTTTCTACCGTTTGACACATTATCATGTCGCCCTCCTGCGTGCGACAAGTTGGAGCTGCCTCCATGAACGGGTCATAGCTTTGTACACGCGCACGAATGGACAGATTCGTGGCCCAGAGAATTCAAGCATTGTGGAAGGATCATCAGATGTCCAATTCCTTCATGAGTTCCTGCACCAGGACAAGACACATCACGACACGAAGTCCACGTTGCTCTCTCCCTTGTTGCCTCATGTCATTGAATTGGCTTGCGTGCACAGCTGCTCGTCCTCTAGATTGCGCGCTTTGAAGGGCGACTCGAACTTGACGCTGAGCCGTCCAAAGGCTGAATTTTCCATCTGCACAGCCAAAAACACTCCCAACAATCAGAACATGCAGCAGGCGTCATCGTCGCACAAAGATCAGGAACACGGTTCATCAGGGTGTTACGACACAGACTTGGAGAGGAAGGACTACTGTCAGCTCTCCACCCTTACGATCCCCTACATGGTACATTCCTGCAGACGATGACAACACTTGACGTGATCCCGCAAACGCTACAATATAGCTATGCAAGCTATGCTGATGCCAGAACGTGGCACCCCGTTTGGAGGATGGTGGCATATGGTGGCGTAAACTGGCGTAAACCAATGTCTTCACCGGAACCGAAGCTAGCGTTGATTTGTCTTCATATTTTGCATCCTAAGCTGACGGTCAAGCATTTGCACGATCAGCTTATGCTTCTCGAGGTCGAGAAACCGCGCGCAAGATGCGACTGTGAGTAACATGTTGGTAGTGCTGCCTGCTCGCTCAATCAAACTGCGTCAGTTTCTGATCTAAGTTACTTCTTTGGGGGAGCTTGGCTTGAACTCTGAAGTCCGGCTGCACTTCTGACTAGCAGCCTTCGTTTCACATAGAGGAGTGACCGGTGTGCGCCGAAAGCCTAGGATAAACCCTGAGCAACTGGGCCAGTAAGCCCTCGCAACGACTCTGAACCTGGTCAGCCGCAGATGCCCCGAATCCAAAGGCCAAACGTCTGCGAACTTGTAACCCCACGATGACCATTCTCACGGGACGTGGGTAAGCTGCATGTCGGGGATGGTGAGAGCGGATGACTCGATCCGTGCATGGGGTTTCTCGAATCGTGTGTTGAATGTCCCGTGGCTTCTGCACTTTCTGCACAGCATGAACTCATGAACGTTTCCATCTGTCGGTTCGATTTGGCCGAAAAGCATTTTCCTGGCTCGTCCGGAGTCTAGGACTTTCAGGGGACGAAATGCGAAGGCGGGAGATCTCTGCTATCTCACGACAAACTAGAGCCCGGAGGAGGTTGGGGGCTTCACTTGGCCTCAACCAGAGGGCCAGAGGGAACGCTGCTCGAAGCTCCAGTTGGGTTCACCACATCGTGCAATCAATGAAGCCGGCGGAGTCAGAGGCGTCGGAGGTGGGTTTCATGCAATGGTGGTGTACGATGCAATCCTGCAAGACTTGAGAAAACCCCACCACTGCAGCCCAATTGCGCCAGATCGCATGCACCTCAATTCAAACCATGGCCGCCCTCCAGGCTTCACGTTTTTGAAACTCATCGACGTCGCACCGATCCCACGGCTTCCGAGACAACTATCCTCAGGCCCCTCCCACTCACGGAATGAGAATTGCTGAGCACAGGAGACATGACGCGCACGCATGGCTTGCCTCTTGGTATCTCCTGGCCCTCTCTTTCTCCATTTGTCCGAGCCTGCAACCATTTGGGAAGGGGTTCTATGCAAACCTTGGATTGGAGCCACTCAAGCCTCGGCAAGTTGTTGAGGGTACGATCGATGGTCGCGAGGGATGCCCGGTAGATCAATTTCTCACCATACCTTGTTTGGCAACAGCACGAGTTCTGGTAAGATGCATGTATGGTCTCTACACAGTCTGGGTGTCCCTCCTGACTCGCAAAGCATTTCGCTGATTCCTGGGCAGGAGCTCGAACCTGCCATGGCCAGTTTAGGCTTATTGCGGAATTGTGCAAAGTCGATCAGGAAGCTAAGAAGCGGACATCTGCCTATCCCGTATCAGGGCCTGAAGACCAAGCGCTATATTGCAAAGAACCAAGATCAGCCAGAGAATTCCAAGAGCCTCATCTTCTTGGAGAGTTGTGGGATAAGCATCCTGCAACTCCTTGACTCAGAGACGCTCTGGTTAGACATCATGCTTGTGTGTCGATCCAGATGCTCCTGTATGATGCCCCGCAAGCAGATCAGCGCACCGCGCTCACTGACCCTCGGTGGCATCTTCTATCCCTCTTGCGACCGCCTTTAGGAACCCAAGGTTGATGCTGCTGGTTCCGAAGAATTACTATTGCCATGCCTATGAATCGCCCATGAACTCACCGCACGCATCATGAACACCATTGCCTGGACTTGCGCATGGCATCGAGAAGCATCTAACATTCTGTTGTCGCCGCGGGAGGGTAGATAGGGTAGACGAGGCCGCGGGGTTCGGGTAGGGACCACCACGTGCACACACTTGCAGACCAGTCATCACCTTACCTAGATGGATGCTGTTTGTGCGAGCTGATTACATGTCGACTTGCCTAGCTTGCAAGCTTGTTTAAGGCGTAAACAATGCTGACAGATGTCTCCGTTCGTAGAAGCTGTGTTGTGGTCTCGAAACGGATGCGTTTGTTGGAACATAGTTGGGATACTTCTGCCAAGCTTTCCTGCGGGTTCTGAAAAGCGGTGTTCTGTTGAAATCCCTGGCTGTAGCGCGTAAGTGGCCTCGTCTGAGTTTGGCCCAAAGTGTGATGGAGCCACTGCGCTTGTTGTTGGCAGCTTTGTTGAAGCCGGAGAAAGCTCCCTTCATGTGGTCGCAGATGAAGGGGTAGTTGAGTTTTGACTGATGATGCTGTATGTAGGTGTTTGCTGTGGCTTCCAATCGCTGCTATGCGGTGGTGTCCGTGTGGAGAATGATGGGAACGTAGTCGTGGTAGCATCGGTGTTTTTGCCACCATCGCAAAGAAAGTTCAGCTTGCATTATTTTGTGCTGAGTCAATTGCTTGTATTTGCGATTGTGTGTGCTTTCGCGCTTGGTCATCGCCGCGTGGCTGCTGCCAATGTAAACATATTTATGAAAGCTTTGGACCAAGGTGGCTCTGGCGTATATCACACCTGGTGTTCGAAACTGGGCCAAGGTGTACGTGCGAGATGAAATTTTCGAATGCTGGAAAAGACGGCGCACGTTGGTGTATTGGTCAGCCTGCGCTTTGGTGTGGTAGTGGAAAACTTTGAGCAAAAGGGCTAGACCTTGTAGCCATAGCACGATAAGTGTCATGAGACAGATGTGGAGAATTGCTCTGCATTGGTCCAGGCACTGTGTGTTAGAGCGGAAGTCATGTGTGCGCTGATGTGCGCCAGAGCCAGTTGTTTGTTGTAGTGGTTACTCAGTCATCTGCAAGATGATGGCAACCAGTTTGATCAAGGCGGGCTGCTGAATTTCTCGATGGTTTTATACGGAATGCCCCAAGCGATTGCTGCAGCGTGTAAGCTATTTTCTTGCTCGGTGGTAAGAGTGGGGAAGGCTTCTGCTGTTGCTTCGATGAGTTTCTTGCATTGCCGTCGTTGTTTGTCTGAAATGCTTTTGAGGCCTCCGAACCATCGCATAATTGCGCTTTCGGAGTAGGCCCCGGAGTAGTTGTTCTGAAACCAAGTGGGTGCAAGAAGAGGTACTTCATGGTCACTTCTGTATCTTCTGTTTCCTCTTTCCCACACCCGGCTTGCAGCTTACTGATTGGAGCTTCCTGGTTGTTGACTTCCGCCGCTGCTTGCTTTTGACTCGAGGCCGCCCCTTTTGCGACAGGCAGCTGCTGGTTTTCTGACCGATTTGCAGCCAATCGCCCGGATTTGCTGACACATGCTGCTCTGCAGTCGAAACGAGAACATCACCGGATGTGCCGTGGTGGCACATCGTGCATCAGGCGGATGCCCTACCATGATGCAACGACACATGCACCGAGGGCCTGAGATATGAGGAAGCGTTCAACATGGGCTTAATATTTCCGTCCAAGGCACTCCCCTGTGGCTTGCTTGATATCGAGCTGCTTCAGAGCCCTGTACACCTGGCTCCAGCAAGGAGAACGCAGGACTCAAGAGCACGTGGAGTCGGATGGTGCACTCGTAAAGGTCGTAACGACCTGCTTTGGATCAGCATCATCATCCAGATCCAGATCTTCAGGCTGTATGATGGCCATCCTCTCAAAGTGAACTGTCACTACAATATGTTCCAGCCTGCCCCAGCCTCAGATACATCATCATTTCGTTGGTGAAACGATCACGATAGAGCGGGAAGACGCCCTCTACATAAAATCAAAATTCCATTCGCAGGGTGTAAGCCTCTCTTTGCACGTGGGCACCGTGGGCCTCTGGCGGAACCTCCATCTCGTCAAGCACCCGTTTCTTCACCTGCTTGCGAATGTGGTGGACATCCCGCAGCAGTAGCTCAACAAAACTTGTCATCTACTGAGACCCCCTCATCGGCAAAAGGGCTGGTTTCCATCAACTGCCCGGCAGCGATTGTCACGGAATCCTCCAGCACCAAGTCAAGGTACTTCCAAATTAAGCAGTGAGAGATCTACTGATGTGTCGAATATGAGCACCTCACAAACTGCAAAAGTCCTGCGTGTTCCTCTCCATGCTGAATCCATACAACATCAAGAGTTGAGCGTTGGATTTCCTACCTCGCCGCACAAAGGTGTGCATGCAATCCATGTGGGATATAACGGCACCAACAACCACCGCACTTACCGTAGCAGGCAAGTTCATGAAAGTGTCTCAGGCCGGTTCCGTATGTTATGTAGATCTGCTCGTATTTGTTGTAATACCTGACACATCAGCACATGCTCCAGCCACTCGGATTGTGAGCGCATGGACGCGGCACCAAGTGTGGATTGGCCCTGTTGATCCCCGACGTCGCAGTCTTTCAACATGGTGGCGAACACCTGCCTTACCCTAGAGCGAAGTGGTGTGCTCGTGCGGCCACTCCCCAAACATGCGTTGTCGGAAGGAGCACGTGCAGAAATGATTTTTGGGCAAGCGCTTCTCGAAGGAGCGAACAACTGGACTGCCGAAAAACACTCAGACGTTCAGACATTCAGCACCAGACATTGAAAAGCTCAGACGTTCAGACCCAGACACGCAAACACTCAATCATAAACCCCTGAACCCTAAAGCCCAAAATTGAACGCAGTATACTCCCTAGACCTGGACCCTTAACATCCCTAAATCATAAATCCCTAAACCCTACTTGCAGACTGAGCGAGGCTGGGCGAGGGCTTCATGGCGCGCAAGAAAAAAACAGGAACAGGATCTCACAGACACCGAGAGCAGCTGCAAGGGCTTTGGAAAATTGACCGTCGGCATGTCTCCCGCAGCTTTTTCATGGTTTTGAGGGCCAAACTCACGTTCGAGACTTGCTGTAGAGAAACACAGCTCTGCCACAGCTCTGCCGCCCTGCCTGTCAGATCTCACGACCACATAGCGCTCTGTGGAAGTGATGCCGGGCACGTTTGCACCTTCACTGACCTTTGTTGAATCTCCCACTGTGACGACGAAACTACAATGCTTGCAGCTACTCGGCTACTCTAGTGTGGGAAAGCAGGCAGTTCATCTCGTAAGCCTCCGGCTCCACGGATTCTGGACTCTGAGTTGGGGTTGTGGTTGATGAGGTCAATGTATGGAACCAGGGCTACGGTGTCCTCTTCATCTTGACCGTCCTCGGTACTGAAGGCATGCCCTGCGAACCCAAGGCCGTCCGGAATCCAGGCAATGAATGGCCATGATTCGTTGAGGCAATTCGATCTCCACCAGCAGGGCAGAGACAAGTCTCGAATTGAAATTCAGGTATTATCCAGAGGTTCTCAGCTTCTCCCAGACACTGGGTGTTCTCGGCCAGCCCAGTTACTGAACGAGCACAGCAACATGTGCTTAAGCTAAAGCGCATGTATACTACTAGTTCCTCGTCATGTAATCACTACAATCGCACACCTCCAAAACGCGACAATGTTGCCAGCATTTGTGCGTTTTCGCAGCCAGACCTGAGACACAACAGCTGTCCCATGGAAGTTGAAGGATTGATTGACACTGGCAATTTGGATCAAGTTGGGGTATGCAGCATATGCAGCAGGCAGACTACGGAAAGCTAGGTCGTTCCCAGAAGCAGTACAACACACACAGCAAGCGGCATACAACCTCCCTCGGCCGTGGCTACGTCTTCAGCTCCTGTCTGGGAGATTATGGGGGCGTCTATGATCGGGAAGATGTAGAAAAAGGATTGCCTTCAGAACAGGCGTCTGCGGACGTCCGTCGCAACTTGCCCAAGGCCTACAAAAACATCTTAGCACAGCTTGTTCTATGCTTGCTCTTGGTGGGCGTGCTCAAAGTCCCCTCACATGCCCTGCTCTGTATCAATTGCCAAGAATCAGGGAAATCAAGCCGCACAGCTCGGCTGAATAGAATGGCATAGGCCCAAACCTCCGTGTGCAGTCGGCATGACAACGGTTGCGTGCAGCAAAGAGGTGGCACATGCATGGTATGAGCTCCATAGGGTATCTGCGGAATAGAACTTCCAACGGGTTTTATTGTCACGTCGGACGTTGATGCTTCAGGCTTCGACTGAAATTCTGACATAATCCTTTAGGTGATCCTGGATCCTGAAGCCCAACAATTAAATCATCTCATTAATTTTGTCGTTTCTTTTCGCGATCCTCGAACCAAAAAAGTTTGCCTGAAGAAGTGAACAATACAGGGTGAGGATTGTAACAGGAACCGGCCCGCGACGTGACTGCAACCCCGCCTCAGAAACCAACCACAATGTAAGAGGAACGAGGGGGACATGTAACAGAAACTGGGCCGGACCAGCAGCTGCAACCAGCCAGAGCTGTAAAGGAAAGCAGCCGGACAACGAAACCGAAACCGGGTTTTCGGGTGAGACTTTAAGTTGCAGCTTTGACTCCCCTGAGAGAGCCCTTCGAACTCTACAAAACAAGGCCCTTAAAAGCGCCCTTGCAAGCCATTAAAGGCCCTGAGCAGCGTTTCATAAGCTCTTGTAAGCCATCAGAAAGAAGCCTTTAAAAACCCGTAAAAGGGTGCCCTTTACAGGCTCTATAAAAGCTTTACATGACATTATTAAAAGAACTCCACAACAGCTCTTTATAAGCGCTTTATGAACCTGAAAGCTTTTTAATAAAACACTTTGCCATTAGCTAGCCGCTACACACGCCTAGGAAGCCCAAACCTTAAACCTTTAAACCCAAGCTTTGCTTTGCTTTGGTAGGGATAAGAAGCACCGGCAGACCCGGTGCCCCGCACACCAGGGCGCATCCCCATCCACCATCTGGAGCAGAAGGGGCTCGGTTGCACAGCGGAACGAACGTCTGGGCAACTGAATGGAGGGAGGTGCCTCCGTGGGCGCAGGTTGCACTTACGGGGTGTTCCCTTTCACATACAGCAAACAAGAAGAAGTAGGTAAGTCGGTCAAACAACAGACATGGGTGCCCCAACTTAGTGCAGCTCGGGTCAAGAAAAGTGTCAGAGGGGAAAAACATGCTTAAATTAACCGTCTCGCAAGTCTTATGACTGCTCCGTGCACACCATTCTAAGGTTCAAGGATTGGAGCGAGTGCCCCTCATGACAAATTAAAGAAAAATCTCAATCAAGGCTGAAAGGACGTCTCACTTTTGGAGTCTGCGGGCGTGGGATGGTTCTTGGCTCCCGGTTTTCCCAGGTGGTTGCGCAGAAGATGCGGTATAGTGAAAATCTAAATTTGTTGCCACTGGGGCTCCGCCACAAGGTTGGTCTCACTTCTCACGCCTGCTTGTCCATGTAAATAGCTGCCTGCATGACCTGCTGCGCCAGCTTTGTGCCAGGGTCGGCGGGTCTCCTTCTCGGAGGTTTGTTTGGTTCCGCAGGTCGTACGTGTCCTGGTACCCCTGCTGCAAATCCTCCTACGCTGGTTCCAGGAATCGGATCTCCTTGTTGCTATCGCCTGTCCCGCTGTGGGTCTCCTCCCAAAGTTTCCGACTGGTGTTGCCGGTGCAGCTCCTGCTGTTCGAGGGTCTGGTCCTTGAGGGGTCCTCCGCGGCGCGGCTCCTGGTCCCTGGTCACGTGGTCCTCCACTTGGCTGGTCCTTTGTTCCCTCCGACGTGGCTCCTGGTCCCTGGTCACTTGGTCCTCGACTTGGTTGGTCCTCCTTCCAGTCCATGATGTCCCAGAAAGCATCAAATTCATGGTGTCCAGTGGATCTGGCCAGCTTGCGAGGTGTGGTCGTAGTGCTGGCCACTTTCTCCTTGGTGCCCCTAGGCTGTGCTGCTTCTTCTGGTTTGGTTTTAGAGCTGGTACTGGATGAGGAAGACATAGAAGGTGGCTTGCGCCTCTTGTTCGTTGAGGTGGTAGTCTTGGGGGGTGCCACTCTCGACGTCGACACGGTCTGCACTGGCTTGCGGGTCTGTATTGTTCTCTTCTTCATTGGTACCCATTCGGTTCTTTTCTGGCCCCCTGGCCTGGTCTGCTTCTCTGCTGCTGCGCGTTTTGCCTCGGCTGCCCTGCTTCACCTTTCGCTAAGCTAGCTCTCAGCACGCAGTGCCTCTCTGTTGTGTGCGTAGTGCCTGCCTCCTTCTCCACGCCCTGGCTGAAGGAGACACCGTGGGCAGCATCTTGCTTTCTCTTCCATGGGTAAGGGGTAGGGGTTCCTTGCTGCCTGTTCCCCGCCCCTTGTGGACTTGGTGTCCTTCTCGTAGTTCATGGATGTCATTCTTGGTGTCCCTGCCACTGTCACGATCTCACCATTCTCGGCGTTCTCCGCCCAGCCTCCTGGTTCATTGTTTACTTGGTTCCTTCGCCTTCGAGGGCGAGGTGACAACAGCGGGTCTCCGATGTCCACCTGCTTCAGGATCACTTTGAGTTCTTCCATGATGTGGCATGTTGCCTTTCCATATTACTACCGGGCCACCCCCCGCCAGGTTCCTCGGGTGACAGCCGAGGGTCCCCACAAAGGCGAAGGTGGCAGAGGGGCCGGGGTCAGGCAAGGTCTTGCGTCCCCGTCATGGGCCCTCCCTGCACGCCAAACTTCATGGCGGCCCCCGCTCAGGGAAGCGTCCTCTTCCATGGCCAGAGAGAGAACTCTCGGCCGCTCCCGAGCGCCGCGAAAGGCACGGCGGAGGACTTGAGCCAAAACGGTGAAACCCAAACTCTTCAAGCCCCCCCGCCCCTAAGGGCCCCCGAGTTTCCGGGGCTTTCAAAAGAAAGCAACAGTCCGCTCGGGGTAAACCCAAACTCTCACTCCCTCTCTTCTTCAACACAGACAGAGGGGTAAGCAGCAGCTCCCACCCGCGCGCGCACGCGCCCTGTCAGTCCTTGTGTCAAGTACGAAAGCTACATCAGATGAGGGCCTCTCTCATTCTCTTTCTCTTTCTCTCTCTTCTTCGCCAGGGCTTTAGAGGCTGTTCTCTCTCTCTCTCTCTCCCTCCCGGGCATGGGGGTCGATCAAGACCCGAGGGCTGATTAGCCCACCCGCAAATATTTTGCAGGGACGGGGGGTGAGGAACGAGTATAGATTGCCTCTCGGCTAAAGCCATAATAATACATGACAGTGTGAGGAGCGAGGCAATTGTATACTCTCCATAACACATGCTGGGACTACAAAGCCTTTCCTCCCTCGTTTCGTTATAAAACATCTCTTCCCTAAGGAATAGGCGACAGGCCAGAACAGATGGGAGAGGATTTGCAGGCAGTGTCCCCTATCTTCCCGGCACTCATGTCCCAATTAAGGCAGAAGATACTTCTCTCTCTCGCTCTCTCTCTGTCTCTCTCTACCAGGCAACACGGAAGGGGCGGACAACCCGCCCTCGCGCGCGAGCGCGCACCTGGGGTCCACGGCAGGGTTTTGAACTCCCCCCAGTCTGACTGTGAGGGGCTCGGCTGTAAAAGATTAAAAGAAAAGAAAAGAAATGCCCTCGGCCACACGCCCCTTGTCATGGCTTAACGAACAGGATCACAAGACACAGAAGTAAGCTAAAGCAACGACAAATATGAGGGCTGACGTGTTTGGGCTGGCCCTAAACCCTAATCCCTAAACCCAAACCCCTAAACCCTAAACCCTCTCTCTCTTGCTTGCTTGCTTGCTAATGGCTCAGAGGAGTGAGAGTCGTAACCCCGCTCCCCACGCAGTGCGCACAGCCATGTTCGTGGTCCCGCAGAGGAACGAGTCTGTTGCCGCCCTCTGCGACTGGGTCAGAGGGAGAGTCCCCGTATTGAGGATCCCCCGAAGCAAGGCTGGCATGAAGCTATTACAACAAGGAGTACAGTAACTCAATCAGCGAGTCAAAGTGGGGTCAGGTGAACACAACTGCATTTTGGGTTCCCCAGTGTTTGAGGTATCCCCCAGAGAACAAATTAGGCAAGGAGTAATCCCCAGGTTCATCCTAGAACGCTCCAACAGCGACAACTACAGCAACAGACAACAGCCAAAAAGACCTAAAAGACAGTCCCCCCCTAGGATGAACGGGATGCGCAAAGGAGTTCTACCGGGTCGACTTCGCTACTCATTAAGGTTGCTTACTTCGCACTCAGATGTCGACGACGTCGGAGTGGAGGTCTATCCCCTTTGTCCCCCTTCATGCTGCGATGTCGCTTCTCCATCTTGGGCAGTTCTTCTTCCCCCGCGTCAAGTAGTGCTGCCATACGCTTCAGCTTTGCTTGAAGTGGCTCTTGAGCAGGTGCTGCCCTGGAGCTCGAAGCCATAGAGCTGGAGAGTCGCTGAACTTTAGCTGCCAGCGATCCACGGGCAGGTTCCCCCGCGCGTGGTTGGGGGAGCTTCACAGTAAGCCCCCCGACTTTCAGCGCTCTTCTGCGATCCTCCTCCATCTTCTTTTTTTGAGCTTTTGCCCGAACTTCGCCCCCGCAGACAGTGCGGAGGGAGTGGTTGGGGGTGCCTGCATTCTGGACTCAATCTCGATGTCCACGAGGTCATCCCCCTTGTGACGTTGATCTCCCCCCAGTTGCTTGAGGTCATTCATTACCCTCTCCCTCTCTCTCTCTCTCCGGGGGCAAAGGAGGAAGGCAGACGCCCCCCCCTCGCGCACGCACGCGCACCCGCAGTCCACGGGATTTGTGAGTGGTTCCACTGCAAAGGTTTCCCCCCCAGGGCTCGGCTATACAGTGGCCGTGCGATCAGGCACACCCTGACTGCCAAAAAAGCAACACACTGAAGTCTGAGGTCCGGGCCGCTGTAGGGGATCATAAAACTCCCTTACAAATGAAAGGACTAGTTCGACTGGGTATCCCCCAAGCCGCCCGGCCACCGAGGGTGTACAAACGGCCGTCACTCTGAAGTCCCCCACAGTAAGCAAACAAAGATACAGCCTATTCCGAAGTGTCAACATGGTGAGGTACTCGGGAAAGGGGCGCCAGGGCAAAAACATGCACAATACATGGTCTGCCGAAGTTTGAGTGGTGCTAATTGGGCCTTGGCTTATCCCCCGAATTCGTTCAAGGACGGGAAAGAATGGTACAGGTGTGTTGAAAAGAAACTGAGATTAAAGGGCCAGGTTGGGCCAGAGGTTCGAGGTTTGCCTGAGAAAAGCAGTTGTATGCTTTGCTTAAAGAATTCACACCTAAAAGCTTACGTGCAGTCACGGATTGTCTGATCAGCCCTGGGGGTTCCCCCTAAGGTCCCCCCTCAGTAGCCGGAGCGAAGAAACTTTTCCACGCGGATCAGCGTTCGTAGGCGAACTATGTCCCCCCAAAGGGCAGGAAGAAAGAGAGGAAAATCCCCCCGTCGTCATCGAGTCGCTCTCCTATGCTGTCTGGCTTGCTCCATATGGGCCTGCTTGGTCTCCCCCGCTTGGACGGCTCCTTGTACGGTCTCGAGGTGTGGCAACTTTCGTGCTGATTCCATACAGCCTGCAAGCCGGGTCCGTGCGGTCATGGCTTTTTCGCATGCCAATAGTGCAGGTCCCCTCAGCGTACCTGCATATTATACAAGTCCCCACCATGGTGAACTTCACTATGTCGCGGCCGTTCCCCAAGTCACGACCGTTGAGGTGTCGTACTCCCCCTCCCAGTGAACAAGTTGTTTAGGATCGGTATCGGCAAGAAGGAAAGGGCCTGCAAAGTGAAGAAGCGCGTCTCCCCCTTTGCTATCGCTGCAAAGAAGAAGATCTTGCAGTAGCGAGGTCGCGGGCAAGGATGTAGGTATCACGGACTTTACCCTCACGAGTATGGCAAGCGTTCCTGAAACCCACCCCGAAAAGGCCACTGGAACGGAACGGCGACGGACGTAAGGCTCAAGCCTTCCCCCGCCTGAAGGCACGTCCACCCAATGGGGAAGCTGGGAACAGCCAGCTACCCCAAAGGGCCGGCCTCAGGCGCCCCCCGAGAGGAGCGGCAGGTCGACTTGAGCCAAAATGGCAACCCTAAACCTTCTCTCTCTCTCTCTCTCTCTGCACGCTGCCCGTCCGAGGCTGAGCGTTGCCCACCACATAAGGAAAAGCAGATCCTAGCTGTGAAAAGGAAAACCATAAGCCCCTAGGTCTATGACCACGTCGGCTCTCATAGCGAAAGATGATGCCAGCACCGCACTGCCACTACTTTGAAGTATTCTATGACCTATTCGATCACGTTAACAAGGAAGACCCATCCTAGTTGAAAGGAGTTTCGCGGTTGTTTGCTGTGGCTGTTAAAGACCCTGATCTGTGCGATGTTCTGTCCATCAAAGTCGGTCTTGGGATCACATACTGTATAGGCATCTTTGCATCTTTCAACAAACCAGTTGGCTCTTGGCTTGCCGACTCTTCGAGTGTGTTCAATGCGTGGTCCATCCGTGCCTGTTTCATTGGGTAATCCGATGGAGCCCTCAAGATGCGGCCTAATAAGGTGAGTTTACGCTGCTTCCTTTTGTCTGATAACTTGACATGCTGATCTTGGGCTCGTAATTGGAATTCGTCTATTACCTTCCGACTGGTCCATTTTCGATATGGATAGGGGGTACATTCAACACTCGTCGCAACATCTTCATTTGAAATGCATCTATTCGATCCTGATCTGATTTTGGTAACTGCATAGTACCTAAACCATACATTAACTTGTTCATTACCACGACATCTAAAATTGTCAGTTTCCATCTCTTCGAGATGCGCTTTTGACCAAAGGATCCCAACTTGGTTTGCTGCAGCATTAGCTTCCCCAATTGTTTGCAAAAATTCTTCATAATTATCTACTGCATCTATCAATGTGCCACTCAAGTATGTCGCTTGTGTCTTTTGCTTGATTCTTTTTGTCCGTTCACGTGTTTAACTCAGGGCTGGTTCTGATTCAACGTAAGGTTAACACATTTGTCCAGATTTAGTTTCATGTTGTATTTTTGTGACTCTTGTTGGATTTGGTGCAGAAGCTTGATTATTGAATGTGTATGGGTACCAAACATTAAGGTGTCATCCGCATATAAGATTCCTGCATAATGCAGTCCACGGATAGGTTCCTTTTGCTTTGGTGTGTTTAAAACCGACTTTATGGCATGGAAAATAGCTGTCATAATGATACAAAACAGATAGGAGACATGATCGAAGGCAGGCATCTCTAGGCAATCGCTCCATACTTTGTTCCTGGAGCTTCGGTTGGTTCGAATCGTGCTTCGCCCCTTCAGAAACACTCGAACGGGCGGCCAGAGGGATGTGACACAGAACCGCCACACCGTCACAGCCCGATCCGCCCGCACCGTGACGGTGAAGCCCTAATAGAAAGACCAGCCCAAAGCCAGTGCGTCTGAAACCGCTTGGCCCGTAGCATATTCCAGGTCCCAAGAGACTCGGTAAAACACGTCCCACAAAGGATCAAGCGACGACTGCAGTGCTTGCCATCGGCGGTTGACACCAATACTGACATCGCCCCTCGAAAAGGGATCTGCGATGTTGAACTCACTCTGCACCCACTCCAGTTGGGGGCACCACTGTAGTGCTGCAGCAACCGACCAGAAGAACGCCAGAAGATGATTTAGAGATGTCTCTTTGCTGTAGCCGCGGGAAAGGGCGGCCCTCCCTGCCGAGTTGTCACAGAATCCGACCCAAAGAACTGGAAGATCCCGCCATGTGGTAATCGCTGCCACAATCTGTGCCATGATTTCCAAGGCATATATGAATGCTTTGCACGAGGAGAAACGTTGCAACAGTGCAGCTGGCACCTCCCAGTGCGCGTATCGGACCAGAGTTCCTGTTCTGACCACGAATCCAGCACCGTTGTGAAAACTTCTAGCGTGTTGCGGATTCCACGCCGCCGGTGGTTCCGAAGACAACCCATACTGCGTTTCGCCAGCTGAAAAGAACGCGTCCGCATACAAGGTCGCATGAGGCATGTGTGGGCTCCAAAAGGGAATCCACCTTGGTTTGCTGTTGTGCAGCATCCGCTGTAGGACCTCCAGTGCACACCGCAGCGCAGAGTTCAACTGGTACGGCGCCGTCCCGCTGACGTCTCGGCTGCGGGAGTACACCGGATGCAGAGAGGCCGCCCCTATGCGGCCAAACAAAGTAGTCCCCAAAAACACCAACTTGCCCGCCAACTTCTGTGCCGTCTCCGGCGTCAAGGTGTCCGTGAGGAGCGCTTCGCGGATCGTCATGAGCACTTTCCGAACTCTGCCAGGTTCGGGACACAACCAGATCCCGTCGCCAGCAATCTCAATCAGGACTCCTAAAATCTTATGACAATGGGCAGGGGGTTGCGCCTTGGACGGTTTAAGTCGCATCCCTAATATGTCGCACAACTCGACAAATGAGGAAAAACTCGATCGAGCGCTGAACGTAGCGTCTGGGGAGCCTATGTCGTCAACGAAATGAATGACTAATACAAAAAGTAAAGACCGTCCCAGAAACATCAAGGCATCGATGCATCTGTTGAAGCACCATACGGAGCTGGATGCCCCGAAAGGCAAGACAGCGTGTTGCCATAGAGTAGGCCCGGCTGGCGTCCCCAAGAAAGTGTATGCCTCTGAAGGATGCGAGAGAGGGAACTGGCGGTATGCCGCCCACAAGTCTTGGCACCAGAGCAACACCCAGTAGCCCAGCATGATGAGCATCCGAATGATTTGGACGTATGTCTCCACTGTGTCATGCGCCGGGACGTCTGCAGTGCAAATGGTAGCGTTATGATAGCTTCTGCGATAGTCTTCGCATCTCCGCACTTTCTTAGAGCCATCGCTGCCTTGTTGGACTACAGAGAACGCCCCTGCAGCGAACACCCGTTCGCCCTCCAGTGGCTTGCACTCGGTGAAGCCTACTACTCCGGCGACTGGCACGCAAGCTTTCGGCCAGTCATCTGGCGAGGCAAAGGGGCCCCGCATCCGACCCATCCGCACCTCAGACAGAATCTCCTGAAGCATGGGCTCCCATTCGGGGTCCACTCGACCCCGCGTAAGTTTGTTGTGGACGTAATCTCGGTTCAAAGTTTCAAACGCAGCCCTTGAGATTGGATGGTCATACGTATCATCCGAACGGGGTCTCCACCCTGGTGTCGGCGGCAGCTGTCCTGTAACAGGGAAACCAACCGTCAAATCGCGAAAAAGAGAATCGCAGTCTGGATAGCCGGCACCTCGGAGCAACCGAGGTGCCGGCTATAATTTGCACAATATGACCGTCCGGGAGGGTGTATGCCTTCTGAATGTGCGGCTTCAACTGCTCAAACCACGCCTGTGTCTCAGCCCGCATGCTCTCGGCTAAACTGCGCACTTCACTGAGGACCCGAGTACGAAACTCGACAATCCTGGGCCCCATCTTTAACAACCTGGACATCGTAACATGGATGCCCGGATCGACTGCTGGGGCCTGCGCTAAGGGGTGTACCGCCCTCTCCGAATACACCCAATGTTGCCACATGTCATCGGGTGGTTGCATGTCTACGTGGGATGACCATTCAGGTATCTTGCTCAGGGACAATGGAAACTGTGAGCACAATGCAAGGACTGATGCCAAACCGCAAACCTTTGACAAGTCCTCGGCTCGCTCGGTCGTTGCGCTACCTACGGTCCGCACTCCATGATGCAACGCCAACTCCATGACAGCCAATGACACTCCGAAGTGCCACGAGTTGCCGAGTAGAGTGTGCCGCTCTTTGTCCGTGACCCCCTCGACCTGAGTAAAACCGGCCACAAACTGATGGGCGAGTTCCTTCGCCTCTATGGGAAGGAGGACCATGGTCCCATGCGGATCCGTCATCATGTTCTCTTCTAGGAAAAACCAAGGTGCATATGATCTCCGATGTTCCAACCACCGTGCCCGTGTGGCGGAATCGATGCGACCTTTGATTGCTTTTGGCGGGTCTCTCCCGGCCTCCGATTGGGCCGGCGTGGTGAGGCACGGCAACTTCCGGGATCCATCCAGCACCTTGGGATGCAGCTTGAGGCCGCGAACTTGCAGATCCGAAGGATCCTGTTTCGGAAGATCGAGGTGAAGCTGAAACAGGTTCTTCTGCACCTTGCGCCAGCGTAGAGGTTTGGAGTTCGCAGGGTGAGCTCGGCAAACCGACCAGTCGACCCAGGTCCACCATAACCTGGGTCTTGACACCGCTGCAAAATCCGAGGAATCCACTACCATCGGTCCCGCGTCCAGACGCTTCGAGAACCACTGGATGTCCGCTGGATTGTTCATGACGACATTCTCGGCCACCAAGGTCACCTTCCTGCCCTTCAAAGCCCCAAGCAACTTGTCAAGGATCCCGCAAAATTGAACGAAAAGAGCCCCCGACCTCCCGCTCCGGCCGGGTGATGACTCAGATCTGACCTGTGAGTAATCCGGACATGGCGCCGCTACCGTGATAACGATAATGTCCTCGTTGCCGCCCGGTATGGCTGCAACCTGTGCCGCAATCCATGCCGGGTCAGCCTGCAGAACATCGCCCATATGACGGTACCCGTCACCGCATCGCTGGCTCGCTACCTTGATCGCCGCGGGGTCAACCTCCCACGCGAACACCGCCCTGAGGCTGTAACCGAGATGACGCAATGCCAATGAAGCCGTGCCCATGCCGGCGAAGAAATCGAGGTGAATCACATGTTGATTCCCACTAGAAGCCCGATCAACTGCAGGTGGTGGCGGAGGCGGGAAGCTGTGATGTGCCACAGTGTGTGGCCCCAACGGCCGGGGTGACTGTCCCGATGACACCGGTGGTGGTGGCCCCATCTCCCCTTGGCCAGGGCCTGTCGCCGAATGCTGTATTGGTGCCGCATCACAACCTGAGCTACGGCCCGCCTGTGATGAAGTGCCCGGTGGGGCATGGCCACCAGGGTCAAACGGCCTAAGGATAACGGGTCGCTCCGGTCGCCACTCGGAGCTCCCGAGTCCCTAACGACCAGTTTTGTGCCATCCACGGTGCTGTGAGTCCTGGTCCCACTGCCGCCTCTTGCCCTTGCCCTTCTTATTATCCGACCAACCCTGTGGCGTGTCCTGCTGCTTGCCGTCCTCGGTGCGTAGCTTCTTGGGTGGGGGCTCCTTCTTCAAGGGTTGCGTGGGGCGTGCCATGACCTCCTGGTACTGATGGACGTCCTCGCGGACTCCGGCTGCTGCCTCCGCGAAGGTTTTCCCGGCCCTCAGGGACATGCAAAGATTCCACATCGCCGCCTCATAATACACCCGAAATTGTTCGAGATTCTGTGGCCTCTGTCTGGCCCTCTGCTCAAGCAAGTCATACAGCCGATCGATTTCATGTTCCGGACCGTACTCTAGCAACAGAAGAGCCCATCGATTGGCGTTCAGAGCATCTATCACTGCTAGCATCGAGCGGGGCTCAAACGTACCCTCGGCATCATCCTTGGTGAGCAGGCGGTCCTTGTCGATGTCGATGACAAGTTCCTGATTGACCTTCCGCTTGGCCAAGCCATTGACCAATCCAGCCGAATCAAACGACCTCCTGGCGAAAATCTCTCCTAGGGGCAAAGGGGAAAAATTTCGAGAAACATGGAGTTGGTGCCAAGGCTTAGCCAACGACGACTCCGCGCCGATGACCCTTTGTTCCGGGAACTTTCTGGCCACCCCATGGATAACCACCGACTCCCATTTCTGTATCTGTTGGGTCCACACCCCCGCTGGCAGAGTCTTGGGCACTTTATCCGGGTCGTATGACGAAGCCGAGGCTCCTCGTGACCCACTTGTGCCTGCCGATGTGGCGGGCACGTCGGGATCTACCGTCCCGGATGGCTTCGGCTGTGAACTCTGAGGCCGCTGAGCTTCCAAAGAGATGTTACGCATGTACATGAGGATGGCAGAAGCAATTGGCTTCTCCTGCTCGCTAATCTCGATCCTAGCGTCGGGGGGGCCAAAGCCTGCAAGAAGAGGCCTGATCACCACATCGCGATACTCTGTGTCCGAGGCTGCGGCGTGAGCTAGTGTGCCCACTGCCTTGATACCCCTCAACTCAAGGTACCGAAGGATCTCTGGGCTCGCTCCGGCCCGATCTGCTACCTCCCTCAGGGAGGGTGGATCAGACGCTACCGACATGCGCAATGCTCCCCTAAGGTGCTCAAGCGACGATGCGCCCCCCTCGGGCACTCGGGTGAATCACTCACGGGCCCTCAGCACGAACCCTACTGCGACGGAGGCACGACGTCCTTTTCGCCTCCCACACGGCCTCGGTCACATAGTCGATCTCGGGAACCGCCTGCCCCGAGGCATTATCGCGTTGTCCGCTCCAACGCTACGCGCTGCCGTGCGCTAAAGGTCGTTGCTACTGCTTGGGGTGCCAACTGTCCCCAGCGAAAGCTCCGGCCTCGCCACGCACCATCCGGCGTGACGCTGCCATTAATCGGTCTCCTCGAGACAACTATGCGCTACCCGCGTTGCCTCATTGCTCTCACTCCGTGGCTCTGGCCTGTTCTGGTCTTCGACGGAGTCGCTAATGAAGTGGTCCTGACAATTGCTGCATAACCCTTGACACGAAATGAGGCTTCATCACTGGCTTCCCGGAATGCAGTGAACTGCTCGCCCAACACAAGCCAGGCAAGTTTCCTACGGACCTACACCTAAGGCAAAGCGTGCAGCACGTCAACAAAGCACTGACATGAACCTACAACTAAAGTGGACATGAGCATCGACACGCACCGACAACTCCAGCGGACATGATTGCAACAAGGATGTGCGAGTCTCTGGGTCGCGAGCTCCCGTCCTCCCGTTGGCCCTCACCCGCTGGAGGATTCTGAGCTGCTGCTATCGGATGATACGTCCCCCTCGGACGCATCATCCTCAATCACGCCCTCATCGGAGGGAAAGCACCTGCGACACAACGGCCACTCTGGCCTGGCCGCATCTGTCCTGAAAAATCGGGAGTTCCCGTAAAGGATGCCACACGCAGTCGCCCATACATCTGGACTGTTATGGGCCTCATCCACTACCGGCTTATGAGCTCGACGCGACCTACGATTCACGACCAACATCCGCCTAGTCGCAAACTCACTCCTGAAGACTGCGAACTCAGCGCGAAGCGCCGCAATCTGGGCTCCGCTGTCCTTTTCCCTGACCGACCCTTGGGACTGAGATTCCTCCTCATCGGCCTCTACCGCGATCACTTCGGTGGATTGACCCGGATCCTCCACGATCTGCCATCCCCGCCCCGACCTGGGTCCGACTGTGAGGGCCTCAGCCACGAGCCCCGGAACATGAAGGAGCGGCGCCGACTGCACATAACGACGCACCGTGTCCGATGCCCACCGGCCTTGCAGCTGGATCTGCTCAACACTAAGACCCAACAGTGACAAGTGCTGGGCCCCACTGACACGCAAAACGTGTCCACCGAACCGCTGCACCTGCAATCCAACCTCGTCCGGCCGAGTAACACTGATGCCAGCTAACGAAATGCAATTGCGCATGTGATCGACTATCTGATGTTTCGACAGCACTCGGCCAGATGTGTCCGGAAACAGCGGGATCCGCGTCTTATCAAGCACCCCTTGCAAGATCTGCAATCTTTGTAGATGTCGTTGGCCTGCGTGCCATGGGCACAACGGCTGCCTGCGAACTTGGCAACAACATGCCAGTGAGCGAACTGTCAGCTCTCCCTCGGTCGAAGTCTTGTGCACTGGAATCAGCATCTGCAGCAGGCCATCCTTGAAATAAAGATGCTCGCTACGGGCGTTGGCCATCTCTATTTCGCGCAACATGTAGTACGACCCTACCAACATGGCATCCGCGGCTGCTGCTGGAGACTCAAAATCGAATGCATAAACATCCGATGCCTCATCTACCAACTTGGCCAACGCGCTCACCGGAAAGGAGTCCTTGAGCTCGGCGGGGCCCAAGCCGCGCCGGATGGACCGCACACAGTCCCTGATAGTAAAGCGCACTGCTTGGGGTACAGGTGTGTGCAACTGCCGCTGCTGCCACGATGTGGCTGCGGCATAATACTGCGCGGCACTACGGTAACCGCCTCTCTTCAAGCTGGCCCCTACCATGCGTACATTCTGGATGTCAAGCGGGAACGGTGCCACGTCCCATGCTAAGCAGATCCGTTTCCACACCGCCAGCCTGGACTCCATGGGTCCAACGGTGGATTTAGCGAGGACCTCGCCCTCTAACTCCCTAAGGGCCTGCTGCCTCTGGTCCGGGGCCGCAGCTGCCAAAGCCTCTTGAAGAGACGCCCGCTTGCGCTTGCGAACCGGTGGCAGGTCCTGCCTGTCCCCACCAAGGGACAGCTGGCGACTCGGCTCGACCCCTGCGGAGAGAAACTCCAACTGCCATCTAGCCACTCCTCTACGCAGCAGTGCATCCCACCGTTCATGGAGGAGCTCTACACTGTACACCCCACATTCTACAAACACGGGAGCTATGTCTTGGAGGCCACGGAGACGCAAGGTCTCCCAGAGAACGGCCGCTGAGGCCATTGAGCCGCAAACCTACGGGTGATCATTACCCAAGACCATCGCAACCTCAGTAACGGAGACGGGTCCTGCCCCACTTCTCGAAACAACTTGCTGAGGAAGATCGCAGCCACCCGCGGTCCAGAGGGGCGCGGTGCAAGAAGGATACGAATCTGAAGACTCGACCGCAGCAGCAGGGAGAAATCATCCTGATACAAGTCCTCGAAATCTCCTACGGAGCCCCCCCGAGCTTCCAAAACCCCCGTAGCCACGGGAACATCACTGCCGAGGTGCAAAGAAGTAAGGAGATCCATTAAGGGCAAAAGCCGGTCTGCAGACTCAGCATCCAGGCAGCTATGGAGATGAATCAGGGCGTGCCGGGGCCCTTCCAACCAACGATCCACCACATCATCAAGACGGGTCTCGCCCATAGCAGCAATGACCCCCAAGCGCGCCACCGCGAAGGCTATATCACAGGAGTCGCACGACATGACCCCTAAAGAAATCCTAAGCTGAGATCCTTGGGCCTTCACGGCTGTAGGATCCCAGCTTCTGCCATGTCACTGCGTGCTTTCAGTACTACCCGACAAAGGACAAGACCCAAACCCTAAACCCTGTAATCCTTCACCCCTAGACCTCCACCGCAACGTTAAACTCTAAACCCTTCGACCAAGGCCTTACCCCTGCTCTTCCTTTCTCCTTGCTCTTCCTCTCGTCTTCCTCTCCTCTTTCCTCTCCTCTCCCTAAACCCTCAACCCGCAACCCTAAACCTAAACCCAGAAACCACCCCCCTTCAAAACTCATCGATTGTACTTTGCAACTGTATGATGAAAGCTCTGCTTTTCCTCTATTCGCACACTCCCCCTCCCGAAACCCTAACCCACCGTGAACCCTAAACCATGGGTTTTGTCAGGATTTCACTGGGAATTCCAACAAAACCAGTGCCTATCATGGTTTCTGCTTCAAAACTGTGGTTTTAAAACCCTAAGCCCTCAAATGCGTAGTCAGAAGCCAGTGCAAGGCTTGTGTTGAAGGGCAGCTTCCGTTTCAACCCCTATGGTTCCGGTTACGGCGCCCACCTGGTTCCGGCTACCGCCCGGGCCCGGTTTCCGCAACAGCTGGGAGCCAGTTCGTGAAACAGAGTTCCTGTAACAACCCACTGGTTCAAGTTACAGCGTTTACTCTGTAACAACTCACTGGTTCAAGTTACAGCGTTTACTCAACAATACAGGGGGTAAACGGTAAACCTTTCTCGGGAATTTCCATTCTTTGCAGTCTCCTGCCATACCGAACCCCTGACGCCGACATAGCCAGGTTTTGCTTATTAATATCTGAGCCTGCAGTTCACGACGCTTTGCTGCATGTTGCAGGAGTCGTGTAGCACTTGAAAGAAGCAGTTGCTCCGTGTGTCTCTACTAGGGAAGCCGTCTGCACCGTGGTTTTACTTGATGGGTGTGTGAGACACAGGGAGAGAGTCTAACAGCTAACAGTAATTACACAAGTAGCACATGTGCATACAGACTGGAGACAAGAACGCTGTTGCACTCTGAGGCCGCAACGTAGTTCTCGTAAGTAAATGCATCAGCAGGGAACTTCTCCGGAAACTGCGTAAAGATCGTAGCCTGTCAGTAGTCCCGCAGCACTGCATCAGCCTGATGGACATTGACATGGTCGCAGTGCGCCTGGTGACCGTTGAACTCGTCTCGCACCTGCTCCTTCAAATACAACGACCTCAAGAACAGCACGAATCAGATAATCAGTGCAGCAGCTGTAGTAGAATCTCCAGCACTTTCAGCAGCATACTCAGGCCCAGACATGTTTCGGCAAATGCTTCCGTTCAGCAGTGTATCTAACTCCTGGACTCATCACCCGATCTAGCTGCTCTAGCTAAAACATGCTGTTTCAATGGTGCTTTTGCGTGATCATCCTCATGCTCTTTCTACAAATCCGGAAGAATCGACATTGTGAGTCGATAGCGATCCATGGTTGCAAGTCGAAACGCAAACTGATTCGTTCACACTCACCCACGAAGTGATGATGGTAGAGCCGTGGTGGTGGAGATGATGATGATGATGATGATGGTCATGGTGATGGTGGTGAGGGTGATGGTGATGGTGATAATGATGATGGTGATAATGGCTATGGTGTTGATGATGGCGATGAAATATGACTATGAAGATGATGATGATGATGATCAGGGTGAATATGATGTAATTAATGGAGATGACATGTGATAATGATGATGGTGATGATGATATGATGGTGATGATGATGATGATGATGATGATTGCAGATGGATGACGGTCATGATAGGATTGGGACCTTCATGGTGAGCGTGACGGAGTTGGCAAGCGTGATCGTGGCCTTTAGCTAATGGCGAGGGTGGCGAGGACCGTAACGATGATTGACGACGACGGGAAGCCACCGAAACTGTGTCGACTGCGGGAAGCGGGGGAAGCGGGGGACGCGCGTCGGTTAGCGGCCACTGGGCAGGAGGCCAAGGTGGGCGGGGTGGAGGGCGGGGGCGGGGCCGGGGTTTGAGGGTCGGTTCTGACAAGTGTTGGCTGAAGCGGCGTTGTAAATTCCTTCATTATCGCTGTCGTTATCCACCCGCCGGTGCCCAGAGGTTGTGCTTGAAAGCCGGTTTTTAGGTTCACCCGCTTCTTGACCCCCATAGCTCTCCCCACAGCTCTGAGCGCTCGACTCCTCAGTGTATCACCGACCCTTCCCGACCCCTCAGTTCAATCCCAAGGCATGCACAACCCCTCTTGCCCCTCCCGACCCCCCAGCGCCCGGTGGACCCGTTCAAATTGGTAAATTAGTCATGTAATTCAAGCCCAAGGCATCCTAAACCCCACTTGCCCCTCCCGACCCCTCCCTCCCGACCCCCCCGGAACCCCAGTTAGACTCATTTAGTCAGAGTCATTTATCACGACCCCCCAGCGCCCATTGGACCCTTTCAAGTTATATAGTAGCTTAGTCATTTAATTTGAGCCCAAGGCATGCCCAACCCCTTTTGCCCCTATTGACCCCTCCCGACCTCCCAGCGCTGATTGGAATCATTGGACCCTCTCAAACTAGTCATTTAATCATGTAATCTTGAGCGCCCAGTGGACCGATTCAAATTAGTACTTTGGTCTGTTATCCTGACCCCTCCCCACCCCCCAGCGCCCAGTGGATTCTTTCAAGCCTTGTCAAGCCAAAGCATGCCCAACCCCAAGCCCAACAGATGCCAAACTCTTGCCCCTCCCGACCCGTCCGACCCCTCAGCACCTTCAAATGAACAATTTAACATTCTCTTCAAGCCCAAAGCATGCCCAACCCTTTTGCCCCTCCCGACCCCTCCTGACCCCTCAGCACCCACTGGACTCAAACGAGTAGTTTAATGATTTAATTCAAGCATGCCCAACCCCTCTTACCCCTCCCCACCCCCCAGCGCCCAGCGGATGCTTTCAAAGCTGTAATTTAGCCATAAGCCCAAGGCATGCCCAACCCCTCAAGCTGCGGGTGATTCCAGGAGGGCATGCGGCGAGCATCATGAGCACCCGGCGCCGGCCAGGCAGCGTGAGGCGATGTGTTTTGTCAATTTTTGAGTGGGTTGTGGAAGCCCCCAAAGGGCGCGCATCATCAGCATCAGCGGGGTTCGGCGGAGGGGGGGTGCGTGGCCTTGCTCCGGGCTGCTACCTGCGCTGCCCGCCCGTGGGCGCAGCCCATAGAAATCTCCTCCTCCTCCTCCTCCTCCTCCTCCTCCTGCTCCTGCTCCTGCTCCTGCTCCTGCTCCTGCTCCTGCTCCTCCTCCTTCTCCACAACAGCACCGCACCAGCAACAGCAGCAGCAGCAGCAGTTGCAGCAAACAACAAACGACCAACAACCAACTCACAACAAACAACCACCGACCAGCAACTAGCCACCAGCAAGCAAGAAGCAGCAAGCGACAAGCGACCAGCACCGCCACAACAACAGCAACAACAACTAGCACCACAACTGCTACAACCAACTGCAAACGACCACAACAACGACAACCACAACAATCACAACCACAACCACAACCACAACAACAGCAACAGCAACAAACGACAAGAACGACAACAATGTTCAACAGCGACAGCAGCGACAGCAGCGACAACTGCAACAGCAACAACAACAACAACCACCACAACCACAACCACAACCACAACCACAACCACAACAACAACAACAACAAAGAAGGTAGGATGGGTGTACGCCTGTCGTAATGTCATGATACCACATATCTGCCGGTTCCTGGGTAGAATCGGGTAGAATGTACTCTGCCAACCTGGGTTGGCATGTAATGCTCGAAGGTGGGTTTATGGCTTAGCCCCTCGCCATATCCAGTCGAAATGGGGTTTATGGTTTTGCCCCTCGCTATGTCTAGTCTCAGCAATATGAAACAATGTACAGTGAATGCAATGCAATAGGTCACAATCGGCAGGTACACACTGGTGATCACTTGGCTTCGTTGGGCAGGTCTAACCAACGCCTGATGGGTCGTACCCAGCTGCTTTTGGAAGCTTCTGAGCCGGGTCCCCGAGTGCCAGTCTAGTGGCGGCAGCAACAGCAACAGCAACAACAAACACCACCACCACAACAACAACAACAAGAAGAACCACAACCACAAGCTTGTTTCCGTCGTTGATGGCTGAGTACCGGTTCCATCGATCGACCAACCCTCCTGACCAATGCACATCCGCATGCAGCAAGGAACCGAGGGAGAGAGGGAGGGGACGAAGGAACAAAAAACTGAAGAAGGGGAGAGGGCAGAGGGAGCGAAATGGGAGAGGATTGGAAGGGAGAGAGGGGAGAAGAAGGGGAGAGAAGGGGGAGACGAGAAACAGATGTAGAAAACCTGAACCACGGACCACAACATTTGGGTTACTTGGTGGGATCCTCTTATTCTGACACTGGACATGCAGCATGCACGAAACAGCAGCTCGTCCTCGTCTTCCCAAGAGAAGGAAGCCCCTACCCTTTGTAACTGGATTCAACACGCCGCAGCCAAGATCATTCAAAGAAGATACGAGGCATCGACTCGTCTGTGGACGGCAGGACGGCGATGTAAGGCGCCCAGAACGACTCCTCCTCAGATGATAGATTCGGCCTCACATTCCCCTTCCAACTGCTAGCATCCCTAAAGTCCTTCTTGACAAACTTCTCATAAATGAGATGCAGTGCAATGGCAGGGTATTCACCTCTCACAGCGCAACGTCTTCTAGTGTGCTACTGCTACACTACCAAACAAGGCCGTGGAATCAGGAACTTCACCGAGCATGCTGTGGCACTCTGCGTTGTCGTCGTACGGCACTTGAGCTTGTTCCGGCTCCACCCAAACAGGTTTTGTCGTATGCTCGTGAGTGCACTCAAACATGCCCTTTAGGAGATGAGGACACTGCTCATGTCTGCAGGGATGCACTCCTCCCCGAACACTCCACAAGAGCTCTCCTGCATCGCACTATACTCATTGCATCTTGTCGGTGATCGAAAGTGGTTCCGAGAATGCTGCCTTCGTCAAGAGAAGAGGCTTCCTTAAATCAGCAGACCGCCCCTTGAGGAAAATCATTAGGCACTTCCGGATACTCCATGTTGCTGAAGGCCAGGCGGAACCCGAGCCAAATCCTCGTACTGCTCAATGTCCTCGGGTAGTCAGCTGATAGACATGTGATCATCCGAATAACGTGTCACACGCAAATCAAACATACACACACACACCATAACCGAGGGTTTGGCACGACGAGCGACCAAACCACGGCCTTGCGAGCAGGAAATAATACGAGGTGCTGGACGGGCCTAAACACAGCCCAGGCCTGAAACTTCGTTTTCGGTTTGCTCCCGTGTCTCTACTGCCATGGACACACCAGCAGCCTGGCAAAGTACGGATCCGTGGCCCACAGCCCACAGCCCAAGACCCGCAAAACGCGCTCAGAGACACCGGTTGACCCCATGCGGCAGTCTCAGAAACCCACACGCCATTCGTTTCCTGAGCAGAAAAGTTCTCAGCGGCCTTCGTACCAGTGCTTTAAATTCCTGTCCGAGTCTGGTGCCAGCCACTTCTCCAGCCTTGAATTTTCTTCGAGCTTGCGGCGTTTCGCAGCACCCCGACCTGTCAGTGTTAAGGAGGCAGCAGAATTCGGAGGACTGCACGTTCTTTGGTGAACTGCATGGCGAAGGCAGGCTCTATCAATGTCAGTCTACCCTCAACCGAACATCACGGGAAAGCGGTGGACAGAGAAGGAAGAGACGAAAGATCAAACTCAAGGTGCGCAGCGGTAGCGCAACGAGGGACGGAAGGGCATCCGGGTATGACAATCAGTGACTCCAAGACTTCTAAGTCTGTCAGTGGCTATCGGCTGATGCTTGATTCCGTCGGATCTCTGTCTCACACGTCTGCAGGGGTTGGAGCAGAGACATGTGCAAAGCGACAGCTCCTTCACGGCAGAATTGAAACAAGAAACACGTGCTACCTCGAAGGGTGATCACTTTTATTTGCTGAATGGGTTGCCAGGTTGAAATTCAAGTGTCGCGATCTGCAAGTGCGAGATGCCTTGTTCACAACCTCATACTTCTTATTGTTTGAACCCTGTCGTCTACACACCCGTAGCCTGGCACGCAATAAGAGAGTCTCTTATGCGATTACAACAAGCGAACGCGTTGAAGCCAGGGCCGCGTACAGTATGCCATGTGCTGACTGCGTCTGACACCCCCGCAATGCATCACCAACTTTTATGTCGAGTCCGGAAGAGCTGTAGCACAAACCTTGAAGGGGCGGAGTTAGCGGCCTGTTAACAAAATCTTGCATGTGGCACGGAAGATGCTCAGGATGCTCGCTGCTCAATCGACCCTCGATGATAGTTGTTCACGTTGTTGGACAATGAATGCCGATGTGCAAGCTGTGAAGGTGGGTGCAGGCAAGGGAGAACATTGCGAACATGTCTGATCCATCTTTAAACACGAGGCACGAGCCATTTGCGGGTTGCTCACTAATCGCTTGAAGCTCCGGTAACGTGACACGTGATGTGACCGGTTCTACACATGCGCCACTTCGGATCACTCAGATCTTCCCCGATAGAGTTGCGCGTAAAATCCTCAGCGCGGATCACTGCTCAGGCTGCTTAGGTCGGCGGACATGTTTCGGAAGTTAGGGCTTGGGGCTGAGACTCATTCTGGTATTATGACTCTTGTTTCAGGTTTTCTCAGCATAAACATCATGCGGCATGCGCAAAGTATGCAAAAATCTCTTTTCCCTTAAGATTCCAGGGCTGCAGCGGATAGTGCGAATGGTCAGGCTGTGGGGTACGACTTGTTGCACCCCGCCTCGGCAGAGCGGTCCTCCTATCTTAAGACCGGTCTGCCGCTCGAAGAATTTCTTTCAAAACTCACCCTCCGAAGCAGTCACGGCAAGCAGTGTACACCCTAATCTGAGAATTACGAATGTGACTGCAACCTGGAAGGTGGAACTGCGTTCCGCGGCTCGTCGTAACATGAACCGTCTCAGGTTCACGCCGAACACTAAGCCTATCGATGACTCCTTGAAGCCTTCGGCACTCAGTCCTTGTCTCGCGCAATGCTTCCTCAAGCTTCTCGTTCTCACGGCACTTCTGTGCCAAAAGCGCTTCTGCCTCTGTGCACCTCGTCACATACTCCTCACAGAAGCTCTTCTCCTTCTTGCTCATGCCAAGGCTCGCCTGCACTTGCTTGCTGGCACTGCCGGTCTGTGGCTCTACGACCCCTTGTGGCACCTGGGCTGCACCTCCCTTGCTTCCACGGAAAAACTTCCCCAAGCTCCACTTAAGCAGCTTGAAGACACCGTAGGGCAACCCGAACACCACCAAGATGGCAATCGCACCCACCATTGCTGTCACAGCCAGCAGCACCCAATCTTCTGGCTCCCACGTAACCAAGCTCAAGCCCTGGGCTCCATCCACCTGCGTGAGCATAAGCAACATGGGCAACACGGCCTTGATGTTGCTCACCTTGGCCCCGGCACTTGTGAAGTTCTTCAAGGCCTGGCTGAGCGCCCGCTTCTCGTCTGCTGCCTCCTTGTCCGACTGGCCGTAGGGATCACCTCCGGGCACGAGCGCGCCCATTGTAAACAGAAGCTCTCGGATGCGTGGGCCGGCCAAAGGTTTTGTGCCCACGTCTGCTGGGTTGAGGGCTCCTGCAATCGGCCCCACGGTCAGCTCGGACCGCTTCACATCGCTCTGGATCCAAAAGGACCCCGCGTGGAGATGTCTCACGCGTCCACAGCCGAGGCGCTGGCTGATGGCTCTTGCCGACGCACTGTCGCTCCGGCACCTGATTTCGATCTCGATCTCGCCGTTGGCTAAGTAGCCCAAGCAGTCCTTAAGGTAAAGTGCCTCGCACGCACCGCCCAAGATTGCCACAAACTCGCTCTCGGCCGAACTCAGGGCGATAGCCTTCTGCGTGCGCACGGCTGAGCCCACCAATGACCCAGCCACATAGTACTGCATTGAGCTTCGGCTTCGACGCGTCCTCTTGCAGCCTCCCCAGTCGGCGTCGGTGATGCTCTCCAGGATGACCTTGAAGGGTCCGCCGTCGCTTTCCCCAAGCTCTTCCTTGCCTTCAAAGGAGAAGCAAGCGCCATTGCGGAGAGGCTTGATGATAAACCCGATCTCCGGGGTGGCGAGCAAATATCCCACCACTCGGTGCAACCACTTCATCGCCATTGCCGTTGGGGCACTCATCTTGGAGCTCAGGATGCACACGGGGAACTGGACATCCGGTCGGGAGTGGGCCAGGTACAAGAGCCTGCCCACCGACTCCTTGTACAGCCTGGCATCTGCCGGGCTCAAGTCGCGGCTGTTGTCTGGCTCCAAGAAAGAGTTGTCAGCCGGGCTGTCCCTCGGCTTCACCTTGGGCCCCAAAGCGCTCCTCAAGGACTCCAGGTACCGGCTGTTCGAGTAAACGGCCACACCCTCAGGCACCTTCACGTACTTCCGCTTGAGGAAGGAAATTGAATCCCCAACCTCGACCAACGGGGAGTCGACCTGCAGCGTGACCTTTGCCCCAAACGTGGCTTCGAACTTGGCTCGCTCGGCACGGGTGCTGGCAAGGAGACTGTCATCCGCGTGAAGTATGAGAGCGGTGTCGTTGCCCTCCTCTTTGCTCCTGAAGAGGGTCGGCTCCTTGATGAAGCTCTCAAGCCCCGCCTCGTGCAAAATGTCACGGGCATACCCATACCAAGCTGAGGCTCCTATCCTCTGCCCTGGCAGGAGTTTGTCCAGAACCAGGGTCACAGTGCCAAGCGCGTCCCCGCCGAACATGCTCTTCTCCACCTGTATCGTGACCGGACTTGGTTGCGGGACGTTCAGGTAAGCGTCCTTCACGTCGATCGTTGTGACTTCCAGTCCCTTTGACACAGCCCACGAGATAAACATGTGGACGGTCGCCAGTGTCGAAGCTGGCGCGAAGAGTTCTTGCGTGTAAGCCGCCATCGTTCGGAATTCACGGCCTACCAAGCGGCTGCGGCGTAGCCACCCAGGCCGCTTCCTCCAATCGCGAACGACTTTCGTCGTGAGCACCTGGTACCCACTGACGTCTTCGCCCTCAGCCGGCCAGCGCGCCACGCCCATCTGGATCAAGCGCGTGATTTCCTTCTTGTCGGCCTCGTTGTCAACGATGCGCAGCTCCTCCTCGCTCAGCTCGGGTGGGTTCTCGCCATCTTCGTCCCACCAGGCTTCAAACTCACTCGCCAGCTCGCTTTCCTCTGCCATCGCCTCTCGAAGGTCCTCGTCCCACTCCTCATATCCGGCCAGCTCCTCAGGCATGATGTCACCGTGGACCATGGAGACTCCTGCGTAGCCTGGGGGATAGAGCTGTCCTGGTGGAGCTGTTGGCACGCTCTCGGGACTCCTTCGCGGCTTGTCTAGAAGCAACCTTGCTCGCTTGGGTGTTGCTCCCCCTGGTGGTAGTTCATCACGTGCGGCCGGTGGTCTGGACACATCCTGCATATCTGTGGCCCCTGGTGGCTGCGGCTGTCCTGGTGATTCCTGGTGTGTGTCCGGATGTTGGTGCTGTCTCCTCTCACCTCCTAGGCTTCTATCTGCGGCCCCTGGTGGCTGCGGCTGTCCTGCTGATTCCTGGTGTGCCATCTGCTTCTGCTCCTGCTGTGGCTGGCACCCCCGTCCTTGGCAGTGAAGTAGCTTGTGGTGTCCCCGGCGAAGAGGTCGAGGATGAGCTTGGTGAGCTCGGTGGGTCCGACCCCGCCTCGTCGCGGGCATTCGCTGGCACCGGGGTCGCTGCTGCTATGCTTTCTGCTGCGGCCTTGCCGGCCGCCTTGGCAAGCTGCTCCAGCGTGGCCCCATCAGGTAACAAAGGCACCCGCGACCCAATTGAAGAATATAGCGGCCGCTTCCGCCGCGAGGTGCCTCCATAGCACCATGGCAGCCCCTTCATTGAAACAACCATTTCCGCATCCCATTGTTCACCTTCAGGAAGTCGGCGTACACTTCGGCTTTCCACAACTCCTTGGGGCGTTCCAAGAATATGTGCACCATTGCGTTCATTGATGCCAAGCCACAGCCCTCTGTCCCATTGCAAGTCCCCCTTGTGCCGAGAGGGCCGGAAGAATATGCATTTTTCTCCAAATGGCAGGAGTCGGCCCTTGAATCGCCGACCAAACATGATCTCGAACGGTGGTGCTCCTCGGCCACCTGTTGAAAACCGATTGTACAGGAAAGAGGCATGTCTGCCGAGCCACGCGTATATGTGGCGGTGGCCCGACACCTTCGCTTTGATCTTGTCCTCAAGGTAGCTCCGAAGAGTCAGGCCGCCCCGCCTGACTGTATCAATGGCCTTCTCCACCTGCCCGTTGCTGGCATGCGACCCTTTCTCAATCAGCCTCGTGTTGGTGACCAGGCCCAGCCTGCCTCTGCAAGCCTCGGTGGCATTCAAGACCTGCTTCACGGCTGGCTCTGGGTCGCCCTGTAACAAGATCGCCTCGCTCGGGCTGACGTGGAGGCTGAGCCGCACCAGGGCCTCCGTGACGCGCTTCAAGGATCCAGCGCCCTTCTCCAGCACAGGCAGGCAAGTTATCCACCCCGTGGTGCTCTCTGCGGCCACCATGCACAGGCCAAACTGATCCCTGTAATCAACAAGCTGCTCGGCCGCTGCTTCTGGCTGTTCTTGGTCATTGGGCTCATTGTCTCCATCTGCTGCACCATCGGGGCCTTGGGCTTGCACCACCTGCTCGCCCTCTTGAATCTCATGCTTCTGCTTGGTGAAGGTGTACGCATAGTCGATCTGGATCATCGGCTCGGGCCTGGCGTGCTCTGCCACCACCTGCTCCTCTCCAGCCTGGCCCTTGTGGGGGCTTTGCCGGCTTCGCCCCAAAACGCAAGCCTGGCACCAAGGAGCGAAAGGCTCGTGCGTAATGGCATGCAGTTCTTGCTGGCGCGCGGAGGGAAGAATTGGAGTTTTGGGGGCCTCCGCGTCCCGGTGCTGCTCAAGGTAGAGCTTGCGAGCGACCTCCGCCGTCATCCGGTTCTCTAAGGTGATCTTCTGCTGCCGAAGCCGACGCAGCACCTTCTCCTTTCCCCCGCTCCGAGATAGGCCCTGACGGTCACAAAGCTCCTTCAAAGTCTTGAGAGGGGTCTCCGCGGTAAGGGCAATGCCGTCGAGCTCGTCCTCCGCATTCGCCAGGGGCTCCTCCACGTCCCGGCCTTCCACTGCACCTTGGTTGCCCTCAAGCTCGTCGAGGTCCATGCCGGCACCGCCACCATCATCCTCCTCGGCTCCCCCGCCTGCAGGTACGAAGGGGGCTCGCCCATCGTCTCCTGTGCCCTCGAACACATCGAGAGGCCTGCTCAAAATGTCCCGGGGAAGCTCAGCAACATGAAACATAGCCACCACATCTCTGGCCCCATCAAGGTCCTCATCTAGCTCAGCAATTGTCTTTGCTGCCTCCTCGTACTTCTCGGTCGGCAGGGTGAGGACCTGGGCCCAGATATCGCCAACCTGGGGTGGGCGAACTGCTTCCTCAATCCTGATGAAAACTGCCACCCAGCTCCAATCTGCCATGTCCCAAAGGGACCGCTCTAGGTCAAGCTCGGTGACCTTGTGGGCCACCAGCACTGGCAGACCATTCTCGAGGATGTGCCACCCCTGCCTTGAGGCAACTTTCTCCAGAGGCTCAGGAAGTCGCCCCAGATCATCATAGCTGGAAAGGGCCCGTACCCCGCAGTTGGGACCTTGCGCGGCAATTGCGGAGACGGCCGCTGTGATCATAAGCGTGTTCCTCTTGAGCTTTATCGGCACCACGTGGCCGCCCTTCTCAATGGTGGGCTTGCCCTCAAAGCATCCTAGGGACCACCCCCACCGAATCAAGCGGCCCAGGCTGAGGATCACCGACTCAATCTTGGCAATCGCGAACTTCTCCCTGATCACCACCTGCGTGCCCTCCGTGGTAGCCACCTCAATGTCGATAATCCTGCTTCCGCACTCCTTTATGCGCCGGCCCTGGGCGTCCTGCATGGTGACGCCACTCGCCTTGGTGGCCCGGCCGACGCTGCTCAACCGGAGCGGCGCAACTGAGATGTCGGCACCCGAGTCAATGATAACATCAACCATGTTGCCGGCAGTCACAGCGTTCACTCTTGCAATGGCCTCGCCCTGCTGCTTCAGATCTGGTGCCAGGGTCCAGTTGTCATCGTCGTCGGTCCCGTCCATGGGGAAAGTAGGGACCTCAAGGAAGCAGCCAGGGTCTTCAAGGATGGCGGCCTCGCTCATATGCCCGTCGTCGCTTCCACCCAGGTCGCCCTCAAGAAAGGCGTCCTCGCTTGCCTGGCCGCCCTCGTGCTCCGACTCGGCCGCCTCAATCCTTAGGACCCCGCTGGCCTCAAGCGAGAACTCGCCTTCCTCGTCCAGCTCCGTAATGTCGAAGACCTCGGTCACGCGGCAACCCGGGGGTGTTGACACAAACGCCTCGACCACATTCACTGAGGCGCTCCCTCGGTACACTGAGGCTGACGGGGGCAGTGTAGTGGACACCGTTGAGGGGGCCACCGAAGACGAAGACGACGGTGGCTGCTGCTGCTCAATCTGCTGAACCTTTCCCTTGGCCGCGCCCTTGCTGTTCTTGCCCTTCGCCTGGGGGCACTCCCATTTCCAGTGGCCTCTCTTCCCGCATATCCGGCAGGCCTCCGGGTCGTTCCAAGAGTTGCCGGCCCAAGCGCTCCAACGCTCTTGCCCTTGGCCTTTGCCGTCCTTTGTCTTGCCGCCCTTGCCTTTGCCGTCCTTGGTCTTGCCCTTGCCGTCTTTGCCCTTGCCTTTGCCGTCCTTGCCCTTGCCTTTGCCGTCCTTGCCGCTCTTGCCATACTTGCCGTACTTGCCGCCCTTGCCGGCCCAAACTCGGTCGACATCCATTGGCTGGTGGCCGCTGTCGTCGTACTTTGCGCCTCCGGCCTTCTGCCCTGGCCCCACCATTCCCCACGGGGTGTTCAACGACTCGTACTGCAGGATCCACTCGCGCAGCTCGGCGTAGGTGGTGGCCGGGGTCATCCGGAATTGCACTTGCGACCTCAGCGGCTCCTTCAGTCCTGTGAGGACCGTGGCAAGGACGAGGTCCTTGCTGAACTCCTTTCCAGAGGCACTCTCATATGCCCGAAGCGCCTCCTCGTACTTGATGAGCTGCTCATGAAGACCGCCCTGGCCCTCAAAGCGCCAAGCCGCCAGCTGGCGAAGAAGTGCCAGCGACCTCGCCTTTTCGCGCGGTTCCATTTCTGCGCGAAGAAGGCGCACTGCCTCGTACCCTGACTTGCTGCGGTCCAAGGCCCGCACAAGAAGCAAAGGCCTTCCTTTCAGCAGGCTGCAAAGAAGGCTGTAGAGCTTGAGGCTCCTTTGCACCATTTCCTCAGGTAACAAAGCATGATCAACTTCAGTCTCAATGTCGATCTGCTTCAAGCCTTCTTCATACCCAGCATCGTGTGCAGCCAGGTAATTTGTCAGGCTAAAATACCATTCTCGCCAAGTCCTCAATTCCTCTTCTCTGCTCTGTGGCTTCCACACCTCCACCTTCAAGCTGCGAACCAGGTTGTCACTACGCTGGCTCCCGGCCTGTTGCTCGGCCGCCTTTGCTGCCCTCTCGCTGGACTCAACCAGCTTCCCAAACATATTTGAAAAAGCTTGCTCCAACCTCTGCTTCACAATCCGGTCCACGAACTGCTCTGCCTGCTGCTGCTGCGGCTGGCTGGCTGCCGCCTGTTGCGAACCTTGCGCCCCTTGGGCGCCCCCATCATGAAAACCATCGGCCTGACTCATCTCCGCTGCCCTGCTAAGTCCAGGACCTGGTAGAAACCTGGCCCCTTGCTTTCCCAGCAGCCTTCTCCTCTTCCCAGCCTCTGCTCTGTCCTCAAAAGGCGGCGCCGCTCCAGGGCTCCAACCGCCAGAAAACTCCGGTGCTGCCCTCTCCAGGGGTCTTACGCCAAAAGAAAACCAAAAGTTGTCGGCACAGTTAAGTGCAGCGACAGGGTCGCTCTGGCAGAGTAAACTGCAGCAGAGGAAGGCAGGAAAAACTATTATGCGGTGAAACCTGGCTGGCCCAAAGGCTCTGGAGAAATACGTGGCCTCTAACCTACCGGGCCTCTACGGGCTCTGGGTCCTGGCCCCGGACGCCACGGCTGTCGTGGGAGACACAAAGGAATCGCCACGCGTAGCCGGGCTCCGCTACCATGCAAAAATCTCTTTTCCCTTAAGATTCCAGGGCTGCAGCGGATAGTGCGAATGGTCAGGCTGTGGGGTACGACTTGTTGCAAAGTATGTTGGCTGACAACAGTCAGGCCTTTGTGAATTGAACACATGTTCTTGACATTTCTTGACACAACACTGACAACGCCTTTCAGCCAGCGCTTGTTCTTGCCAGCTTTGCCTTTGGTCTTAGGCCTCAGCATTCAGACAGTCTGCAAAAGATCCAGCAAGAAGGTCGCTGGCCTGGAACTGAGGTGACGGCAGCGACAGCTCCATGCCAGTGGCAATTACTTCTCCAGTAAGTGACCGTTTCCCATCCTCTAAGCCCTGGTCAGCGAGAGCTTCCCAGACGTACACATCTTGCGGGAAGCGGACAGGAGCCCAGGAAAACTGACGACACGTTGCCGCCTCGACATCCGGCAACTTTGCTATCCTGTGTCCACGTGAGAGATTGAGATCTCAACTTGCCAAGCCAGCACGTAACTCAGAAGCTTTTTCCCTCCATGTGAGCTGCATCATCTGTCGGGCAGCTTCCTAAATAGGAGTCGACAAGCGTCCGGGTGACGCCTGGCCATCCTCCCAACATTAACCTTCAGGACCAGCTTCCTGAGAACTCTAGAACGTTGCCCAAGACCTCAAGCAGGTTGCCATCAGGCAAGCGAGTTGGGTGCTATCTGGGCCGAAAATTCGAGACTGTTCCTCTTCTCATCCATTCCATGGAGGGTCCGGAACGTCATCCGTCCGCTACACGCCACTCAGACCGCGTTATCCCTTGCAATCGGCTTCTGCCCGAATTCCTTTGGAAAAGGCACTGCTGTAAACTTCTCGATGCTAGGGTCCACGTCGCCTTGCGGCTTTTTGCCAAAGCATCGAAAGCACTGCAAGAAGCGATTGCATGCCTCATTGAGGACACTCTGCGTCATAGCTCTGTGCTCCGCTGCTTTCGGTGTTCCCCAAGTTCGACCAGAGAGCTTCCCGAGGAAGGTCGGCACGCGTTGGCAAGTTGGGACCTTTTTCAAATCTCCCTCCACGTTGTGCAAGAAGGAGCCGAGGGCGCCAAAATAGCCTTCATGCTGCAAGAAGAGCGCTTGCAACTGCTTTCCCTGCTGCGACGTGGAACTGACCCGTCGCATGTTTGTAGCTATAACTTGCCTCGCAACCTGGTTTTGCCGGAGGAAGTTTCCCGTGAAGACTATTCTTGTGACTCCGTGGATCCGAGAGTTCAAGAAGGCGATTTGGCAAATGTTTTGTGAGACCATTGTGATAAGTGCATGCAGGAGGGCTGCATCATCGTGCAGGTTCTCTCCTCGACCTGCTTTGGCAAAGAAAGACGCCACCAAACTGCCGGGAAGCTTTCGGCCTCCCTCCAGCTCGTAGTCACCCCCGTAGATATCCTCCACTGTGAGGTTCAAGGAAGCGGAGTCGCCGTCCACCGCCAGGCAGCTGGCCTCCGAGAAGTCTTTGCACTCCGGGCACAGCAGCTTGCAGAGGCCCCAGAAGGTCCCTCCGCCCAGCGCGGAGCCGCTGACTCGCTCGAACTTGTCTGTACCATCAACGCGAACGATGCTGACCCCGGAACCGATGTTCACCAAAATGAACGGAAACAAGTGGCTCTTGGAAGAGTCGATGAAGTGGCATTCAGACTCAAAGCTTTTGTTTGTCCGAGACTCCTCTTCACCAAGCCAGCAAACCTCATCCGAAATTGGCCTCTTCAACAGCCATGAGATGCCTTTGACAACGACACCTAGCTCGTCCACAGGCCTGAGAGTGATTCCCAAACGCTCAGCGAACAGCGTGGCATACTTGTAAGCGCCACCACCGGTTGTAAAAATCTCATCGATATCGTGATGCAGTTCTTGTGCTGCTAGGAGTGAGACAAAGCGTTCCATCTGCTCAGAGCGGAAACACAAAAAGTGGAAATATCCTTGAAGCTCCTCATCATAGAAGGACAGCTCGTTCTCCTGCTCGCCCCAGAACGAACCCTGTCTGCTGAAGCCGTGCTCGTTGCTTCCTGGAGTTTCTGATTTCGTCTTACCCAAACTTTTGATGACTTCGGCGATGCGGCCGTTGCACCAGGATGGTCGAATCTCTGACTCGAAAAAGACAAGCTTCGCCAGTGTCCCACCAATGTCCAGGCCTAAGCGGCTGCCCGAATGCCCTCCCCAGTCTGCGTCAGCCATTCCACTCTTGGCTCGGGAACTCAAAAGACGTTTGCCCTGCTCTGAGCCTTGAACTGCTCCATGACCCAGAACCCGGCATCTTGGTGCCACACTGTACCAAGCACGCAAACGATCACATGAATCATAATCAAAGGGACCTCCTCAGCTTAGTGAACATTTCACGTGGTATCACATGAAAACAATGGTGGGGCACCGCTGCAGTCATCAGCCGTTGCAACTTGTAACTCAAGTCTAGCATTGCGCGAACTGGCACTCTCCGATGCAAACTCGCCTCGGAGAAGAGGATCTCATGCCGTCCAAGGCAGGAAACCTGTCATTCAGTCGGATTGTAACGATGCCAGACAGCAAGAGTCCAGACCTGCACGAATGAGAAAGGAAGCTCGAAAATCGTTCGCACAAGCACTGACAGCAGTCGCAGAACAGCGAAGAGTCGTCGGTCTATGAGGTCATCTTCTATCGAGCAGACAGGACCGATGCAAAAAGAGATATATATATATAGAGAGAGAGAGAGAGAGAGAGAGAGAGAGAGAGAGAGAGAGAAATGTCGTCCTGTCATGAAAGAAAAGAGGACCAATGCAAGGAATGCGACTTCGAAAGGATCGGAGCACACATGCACAAGGTCACACACGAACACGGCAGTGGGCGTTTTTTGTTGCGCGCAGAAGCAGAAGCAGCTGAGAACCCTGCTTCTTCGGACCATCATCCCTTTCCTCCACCTCGGTCGCGCGAGCTGACGAGTAGTTTGCAACGATTCGCAGCGGAATCGCTCAGCCTGGAGATCCGGCAGCGGCGGAGGCCTCTGCTGCCAGCCACAAGGATTTGGATTCGAGTCCAAAGGGCAGAGACCCTTCGTTTCGTGCCGAGTCACTTCATGTCATCAATGCTAACATCATCATCGGCCATTGGAACGAGCCTTGTCGATCAGTGCCAGTCCACTTGATGACGGCTATGTCTAGCCAAGGAGGAGGCACGACACCATCCAAGTCATCCAGTTGGGTTGCTCGCAATCCTCTTCATTCGCTCATGGGTTTCTCTGTCTTCGCGCGTTTGGCTGAAACCTGTGCTGGAGCGTTGAGAAGAGCGTGGCTTCCAGCCTCGGCTTTGCTTGAACCACTTTCTGAATGCAAGTCTATGGCAGCTACTGATGTCTACTGCAATCGATGAGATGCAGTGTATTTCGTGATTCCATGCCGGCTTCCCTCGACTTAAGCTCAGCGAAGGGCTCTGTCCAAGCCATACCTCACAGGGTTGATGCACAAGCGCGCAACCTGCGAGAGGGATCCTACGATCCGTTAAGACCGTGACAGTGAAATCACGACTATGCGAAGCGAAAGCCCTGACAAGACGAGCCAAGCGTGCTGCAGGGACTGCGATACATTCACCATCTGTCATGTTTGCAAAACATGGCTGGTTGACAGGAACATGCCAACTATAAACATCCTGGCAGGGCAGTGGCATGCGACCGAATGTCATTGTGCGATGGAGCCCAGTCAGCCTTCTCGGTGCCGTTGACCTGCACGGTCTTGGCCGCTCCTTCGGGTACCAGCACATCAGCAAAAGCAGGGGACACTCTACGAAGCTTGCTGTTCGAAAAAGGAACATGCGTGTGGTGCGTCATTCATTTTTGGCAATGCTAAGAGGCATATCTCTTGACCACAGCAGCAGTACTATCAGTACTCGAAACTTGTTAATATCCTCGGGCAGAAAAAACCACCATGTATCAAACTCATGACACGACTGGTGGCGTTTGGCTATGACATGTTTACTGCCTAAAGAGTCTATACGGAACTTGCGTGACTTCTTGGTTTAGTTTCGTGAAGCTTTGTTGGACCTTGTCTTTGAGAATTGGCAAACGGCGAACATGAAGTGCTCTCTGTCCTGGCTGAAGTTTACAGTCCTTGTTGATGTCACTTTTTCGTAGCTTAGGGGCCATTCCCATGTTTTGAATCTTTTTGACCCTGGCATGAGTTTGGCACGGTCAGGACAAGATTTTCGGGCAATTTGGATGTCCTCCTGCGGCTGCCGGACAGTAGCAGGTCAACAGCAATGAAACGGAACTCTTCACCTGTCTTCGGAAGGTGTTAGACACTCTCTGCTATTGAAATTTCAATAGGATGTACAACGTACAGTAGGTTCTCTGATTCCAGACCGGGCTAAATTTAAAAAACAACTGGATTCGACGAGATTGAACCAGGGGAGTGAGTCGGTTTAAGGGGACTAGCTATTAGGGACTTCTAGCCAATCACACAGCATTCACAGAGCGGCAAGCAAAGCGCAGTAAGCAAAACGCAAGTTAGGCCATTCAAATCACAATGTTGCTACAAACTCATGCAGGGTCCTGGTCCATCCAGAAGACAGCACGACTCGCCATCTTGCAGAAGCTCACTCAAACAACAATCGCCTGCTGAAAGCTCAGCTGGAGGCCAGACCAGTCCACAGCAGCACTCACTGTGCCCAAGGACTCAAACTCAATCGGCACGATTCTTAAAATGTTGCAAGCCGTTTGTTGTGGCATCTTGTGCGGTATCTTCAAAGCAGCGTTTCTGCACTTTGCTGTTGCACGGGATCGATGTCTTGGCTTCCGCATCTGAGTTTGTTTGCTCGTCCAGCTGCAGGTTGAGTCGGTAGACCGCCGGGGAATGCGGCTGTTTGTCTGTCATGCTTAGGACCGCATGTATGCTGAGCCAGATGCGGGTGGAACGATCTTCACAGAGTTCTTAACAGCAGGAAACCCGATGCTCATGGCTCCCATGGCTCTGCCTTCCCCGACTACTGCCCTCCGCCAGCGGCAACACCTACCCCACAAACATGCGACTCTTCATTCTCAGAGCAACGACATGCGGGAAGCACTCTGACATAGGTGCAGCGAGAAGCTAAGCTGGCATGGGTCCTTGCCGACATGTGCTCAACAGAGAGTTCAAGATTTGTGGTTCAACGCAACTCGGAGAACTCTGCGTGCGACATGAATTGCGCATCTTGCATAGCAGCAGCTGAGCATTGACACCTTCCGTTGAGAGTACCTGGATGGGACAAGCAATGACTGTCCCATGGAAGCTGGAATTACAGGAGGGCCACTCCCCGAAACAATACACTGTACACTCGACGCATTCTGACAGTCAGCCCGAGCATGCTGCTGTTTCATGCTGCTTCTGCCCAGATCTAGCTATGTGTCACATGTTGTTCAACGTCTCAGTCCGTTATCTTCTGGGGCTGCTTCATCTCACATAATCTCGCTGCCTTTACAGCAACTCCATGACAATCCAGTGCAATGAATGCTGACTGGCGTTGGCTGCTGATTCTGCAACGGCAAGTTCTGAGGCAAACGGCCCAGCCATGCTGGGCCCCACCGTCTTCAAACTTAAACGGCTTCTTTCCGGCACTCGGCATTCTGCATGCATGCATGCATGTCGGTGGGCCATGTCGTTAAGCCATGGCCAGTAACGAATTGCAGGCCTGCTGCCGAATTGCGAGCTTGGTTGGATTGACCGGCACGAGTGTTTGAAGAGCAAGAATACTTGAGGGCGGTCTGAGACGATGATGCCCTCAGCATGGTCCCCGGACCCGTTGCTGTGCTGCAGCAAATGTCAGTCCAGGGTGCGCCTCATCGACATCAACTTGCAAGAGATCGCAAAGCATGAAACTTGGGTCACCTGTGATGACAATGGTCTGTTGAGTCTGCCTAGCAGAAAGACCGGCTCGGCCGCGGACGGCTTTGGGACCTCATGTGTACATGTGCCCACAGATGCCCAGACATGCGACGGATCGAGCGTCGAAGGGTTCCGAGACAGCCGCCTCAGCAGCAGCCACCTCCGGGTTCCATACCCCGGTGACTACGACGACTTCATAAGGTAGAAACGACTCATGCTGACAGTGGCGGTTTTGGCAGTCGGATCACCAACAATCACTTCATAATCAATCATCCGGAAGAACTTCTCGCAGTCCAGCCTTGAGAGCTGCACCCAGGCTTTGGACCGCACCCTTGCCTTTCCACAACAAGCATAGGTGTACTGCGAAATCGACGTCAAACCAAAGCAGCGGCAGGGGAGCAGGCCTCCACCTTTGCCCTTGCCCTGTGCACCGCATGAGTGTATGAGGTGTCAAACCACAACTGCCCAACCACTTCGTTCAGCTTTGGCCCGATGCCTTCTCGTGCCTTGGGAAAGCAGGAACGGCAGGCGCAGACGGCGCAGACTTCGGTTTCGCCTCGCAGGAACACTTTCGCAAAGGCCACCGTTTGCCACGCATGTCGCGGGCCTGCGGAAAGCTCTTTGGCCGACCTCTCCTGGCACAAAAAGCAGAGGACGACACTCCTTGCTCGCAAGTCCGCAACACCCACCTCCTCTGTTTCTGGCAAGAAGCACAGAACCAATCCTCACAAGGATGAGCAAGCTGTCGCGGAAGTAGAAAATCGGTTGGATGAAGGCATCCCAGTCAACGACATGAAATGAGACCGGCACCCCTTCAGGCACTGCCTTCAGCGGCGGATTGCAACAACCTGGGCGGCGCACGTTGTCTCCCTCGGTCTTGTGTCGCAAGGGTTCAGTTCTTTGTGGGGTGGACAGAATCTTGGTTTGCCAGGTCAGGAAGACCACATTGTAGTACCACGTGCATGCCAAGGCTGCACCTTCCGCCCTAGCCCATCAAAGGAGGTTCTGCATGTGGAGCAGAACGGAGCAAAGAACACAGCGAAATATTCGAACGACCTCCGTGTCTTCGACTGAGGATGCATCCCAAGTGAGTTGTTCCTTCGCAGCCAGGAAGTCCCCCGTCGCACCTTGAGTAGCATGTCACCTCTGAGCCGTGGCTAAACAATGTGAAGAAGAACACTCGATGACAATTGAACGCTTGCGGACTTGACAAATGAATGAATGAATGGTCCCTAAGGCTACCACAGAAGCAACGTTTCCTCGGCCAACAAGTCTGTGAAATTGCACATGCCTCAAACTTGCTTCTGCGCTGGCATCTTTTAGTTCCGGTCTGGATGATCCGATCGTCCGCAAACTGAACACATCAGCCTGCCAGTGACGGCATCTGAGAAAGTTCCATGGTGGCTTCAAACGGCTCGGGCACTCTCGGGTCGCCTCTTTGGCTGCGGAAGGTCTGGCACCGCCTGCAAACTGAAAGCCAAGAACCCCACGGAGGCTCGAAAAGACATCTGAATGCCAAGAAGCTTCCGTCCGCGGGGGGGGGGCAAAGACGGCTGCAGAATTTCTGTGGAATTCATTTTCCGTCCCGGGATCTGCCAGTACTTGCCGAAAACCATGTTGGCCATCAGTATTGGCGGGTTGCGTCAATAGTGCAGAGACTAATGGTTGCTGCGGGCACGGTCTGGGATGCGCTAGTGCTTGCTTGGCAGTACTTGACTGGTGGTTACTCGGGGGGTGGGGCATCAAAAACTGAAAATGCCTCAACAATGATCAAATCCAAGGTTTCAAAGAGTCAGAAATCCATCACAAAAACTAGATCCTATGTGTTACAACAGGTTACGGCATTGGGCGAACCTATTTTATGTGGTTGTGTTTGCAGCAGCTTCGGGGCTTCTGTTTTGCGTTAAGCTATTGGGGGATTACAATGTCCAAGCTCTTTGGCGTCAATTTACTGGGAATTGCAATTTCAAGGTTCCTGTTCTGCGTGAAGCTGTTGCAGGCGTTCAACTTGTAGGGTCCTGCTTTGCATCAAGCAAATGGGAATTTTGATTTGCAGGGTCTTGCCTTGCATCATGCTAGTGAAGAATTACAATTGCCAGGCTCCTGAAGCATTGGGGAATTACAGTTTGTAGGGTTCTGGTTGGCACCAAGCTAATGGGGAGAACAACTTGTAAGGCCCTTTGTGAAGTTTCTGCTCTGCATCAAGCACTTGGGGAATCCGATTTGCAGGGTTTCGTTTTGCATCAACCGATTAGGGATGAGTAGTGGAAATGCATGAGGGCTTGTTGTTATTGTCTTGGTAGCGCATCATATCGATTTCCATTCTGGAAGCTGGCGAGCATATGCTCATGCTTGAGATTTGTCCGCCTCATAATACCGATCCACGATTTGTACATGCATTGCACCACGATATAGGACATCTATGCAAAAGATACCGACCTTGCATCGATGCAGTATGCTGCCGGAGCCTTCGGGTAGTAGGGAACCTGCATAGAGATCGCTGCCTGAATAAGAACCGGGTCGGTGAGATTAGATGCAAACGCTTTTGCACAATCACCGGGCGTCACTCTGCAATCTCCTCTTGGTCCTCATCTTGGTCATAATCTTCGCGAACTTGTCCGGACCGACTCTCATGAGCATCTTGTCAGGATTGGCCGGCATTGAATGACCACTGGCAGCACGAACTGCCCAAGGCCGAAACCAACTGTCACTGAATTCACGGTCTTTTTCAGTAGCCCGGTGAGTTCCTTGTGCTCTCGTTGCCTCATAGGCCTGAACAGCGCCTGTAACGATGCCGTTAGGCATGGCGTCCGCTGCTGCATCATCATTCGGCGGGTCCACAATCTTGACGCCCATAAACTGGAGCTTCATCTTCGCATTGCGGCGTTGAGTTGATTACCTTCAAACAAGAGTTGAAGACGTTCATTTATCTGCCTGATACGCCTTTGATGGTCGCGACGGTCAAGAGGTAAGAGGGTTGTCGATCCTTCGAAATTCGTGCGTCCACAGCATGTCCATTGTCAAGAGGTCATCGATCCTCACCCATCCTCCTTCGTCACACGGAATGGTAGGAATTTGATGTCGGTTGATCGATGCGGCGTTGTGTGTTCAACCTAGGCGATGATGTAAGTCAGACTGAATGCATGATAGAGCGAAATTCGCGTCCTTCTTGCGATGGAAGCTGATGTGTGGTGGAACTTGTGCGGCTTGGACAATGCCCCAATCTTCGTGCGTAAATGATGCACCCTTTGATGGAAGAAACTCCAATAGCCCGCATCTCACGTTGTCGCCCATGTTCTTGTAGCCTGGGTTGTGATAGCTATGGAAGCTTCCTTGCGCAGGTGGGAACCTTGGAGCATCTCCCCACTGCAGGAGGCTCATGTCAGATGTCACACGTCCAATAGTCTCCACCACTTCAGCGTGACTTGCCAACCCAAGCTCCGACTAAACTTCCCACGGTTGCGACAATCGTGGGCTGCGTCGTACCGGCTGATAATTACACCACCGACAGCTTCACCACCACATCTTAGTCGTGCCTCGGCTTTGGGCCTCCTCGTCGAAGAAGCTGACCTGTTGACTTAATCCACGTCCATGGATCCGGACGCTTGTGCCTGTCGTTGCTGATGTGGGCCGTGAGTTTGAGATGATTCAAGGATCAGCTGCTTGGGGTAGAATTCGATAGCTTCCTCCATGATCTTGAACCAGGCCAAGCCCTGCCGCAACACCGGAGAGTCCGTGTTGCAGATTGGGAAGGAATGTTGATCGCTTCCGCAAAGGACACAAAGTGCACCAGTGCGTTCATCAATATCGATGCTTCCTGTAGATAACATGTTGAGAGCATCCATTGCCTTCGCCTTTACTGTATTGTGAAATACTTGATCAGGATGAGAAGATTCTTCGAGTTCCTCCTCCGGCTGTCCATCTTCGTCGATGTGTTCCTCGGGGATTACAGGAGCTGCTCCCTCACCTTGAGAGGAATCGACCAGGACATCATCATCCTCCTCCATAAGTTCGTCTACCCCTGAATCAGGATGTAGAGCCCAGGGAGTTGGAATGATTTCAAACCGAGTAGTAAGGAAGCTTGCCGTCATCTCGCTGATGTACCTTTCAACCTCTGCATGCTTTCGAGGAGGAGATCTCTTTCTCGGAGTATCCGCGCCAATCAGCTCGATGGACTCGGAAGCACAGTACCTGTAGAAGGACCTTTCCAAGCCTTGGACGCATGCGTTCATGTCCTGAAAGTGCCCAGTTGCCGAACTTCTCTGGATGCCTCATAGCAAGCGTAAGCATTCCCAACGCAAGCTCGAATACGTCTCACAACAACTCCTTTTGGATGTTCGTCACGTTGTAGAAGAGTTCTCTTGAGTCCTCAACAGAAAATATTCTTTTCATGTAACCAGCGTAGGCAGAATTCCCAGCATCGTAGTAGCCAATGAAGCACATGTCGTTGTCCTTGTCATAGGCCCCGTCCCACGAGAGTTGTTTGGCCTTGCCCCAAGCTGCATATGACACGGCGCAGTCTGGCGAGACTCTCAATTCAGTCCATTGTAAGCGGACACGGTCTTGCCATAGTCTTCGTACGCAATCGGGGCGCACTGCTTCAGATACTCAACCAGATTGTCTTGTGGTCGTAGGAACTGAAGCTTGGAGTCATAGATGTAAGCAGCCGATGCCAGAGCGCATTGCTCGACGATTTTGAGCTTCCCGTAGTCTGGAATAGTCCACGCAGTGTTTCGAAGAGCATTCTTGTAGGTGCATCCAATGCAGCATGCGAGGTATTCAGGACCTTCGAACTTCGTGGAGTCCTGGCAGAACACTTCAGGCGATTTCTGCCGTTCACAATCACTGCAAAGAATTTCTTGCCTTCCGTGTCGCGGATCTCAGTGGTGGTTTCTTTCTCCTGTCGTTCACTATTTTGTTGTTCGTGCATGCATTTCTCTGCTTCGTTATTTCTGTTTCTTTTATTCTGCAACATTTCGTTAGTTCGTTATTCTAGTCTGTCTTTCTGTGGTATTTCGTTCTTTCGTTATTTCATCTTTCGCTTCGCTCGTTATCTAGTTCTTTTCTTGCCTTCTGTGCTTCTTTTTGTTAATTCATTTGCATAGTCCTTTGATTCCTTCTTTCGTTCTCATCTTTAACGTTTTTGATACATGATTGAATTTTGGTTGAGGCCTCTCCCTCACTCGGGACGCGTGACGACAAGGTGCTTCTTGGGACAAGCTTCCTGCTGCGGTGTGTTCCTGGCATTTGCCAAAAAGCGGAGACGCGCGGAGCGGGGCAGGCGACAAAGAAGCGGAGAAGAGGAAAAGCAAAAGCGCAGAAGCAGACAATGACAGGTCGTGCTCTGAAGCGGAGAAGCGCAGAAGCACAAAAGCAAAAAGCGGACGAGGCCCGCCCCCCGACAAAAAAAAAAAAAAAACAAACCACAGGCGCAAAAAACAATATGAAGCTGTGTGGGGGGCACCTCTATTTAGCTGCAATGGTGTTCGGCAATCAACGTGCTTCGGCGAATGACGATGTAGGCAGCGCCAAAAGCCAAGCATCATGAGTATCGCGGGTACTTCGTTTCACCTATTTCCCCTGCCCAGACACAGGTCAGCAAAGCAAAGTATTGCACGAGCACCCTCCTCGGAGCTTTCGCGATCAAAGATGAGACTGGAAGCTTGGTACACGAAGGAGCGGCACTTGCTTGCGATGTAGCAACTCTGGACGCAACAGAAAATCAAAGATGTATGCGCCTCTTACCCGGTGAGGAACAAGGCAGACACCAGCACAGAGAGCCGGATGACACAACATAACTCAATTTATACGGATCAAGGCTTCCAGTGTAATTGCCCCCCAGGACGACAACCATGTGACATGGAAGGTCGAGTCAGCACTCTCCATCATCAGGGCCGAAAGCCATCAAAACGACATCGACGACTGCCTCTACTGTGCTAGTCTCAAGCTGGACAGGACAGCAGGAAAACTTTCGCAAAGGCCACCGTTTGCCACGCATGTCGCGGGCCTGCGGAAAGCTCTTTGGCCGACCTCTCCTGGCACAAAAAGCAGAGGACGACACTCCTTGCTCGCAAGTCCGCAACACCCACCTCCTCTGTTTCTGGCAAGAAGCACAGAACCAATCCTCACAAGGATGAGCAAGCTGTCGCGGAAGTAGAAAATCGGTTGGATGAAGGCATCCCAGTCAACGACATGAAATGAGACCGGCACCCCTTCAGGCACTGCCTTCAGCGGCGGATTGCAACAACCTGGACTGCGCACGTTGTCTCCCTCGTTCTTGTGTCGCAAGGGTTCAGTTCTTTGTGGGGTGGACAGAATCTTGGTTTGCCAGGTCTGGAAGACCGCATTGTAATACCACGTGCATGCCAAGACCTTCCGCCTAGTCCATCAAAGGAGGTTCTGCATGTGGAGCGGAACGCAGCAAAGAACACAGCGAAATATTCGAACGACCTCCGTGTCTTCGACTGAGGATGCATCCCAAGTGAGTTGACTGTTCGCAGCCAGGCAGTCCCCCGTCGCACCTTGAGTAGCATGTCACCTCTGAGCCGTGGCTAAACAATGTGAAGAAGAACACTCGATGACAATTGAACGCTTGCGGACTTGACAAATGAATGAATGAATGGTCCCCAAGGCTACCACAGAAGCAGCGTTTCCTCGGCCAACAAGTCTGTGAAATTGCACATGCCTCAAACTTGCTTCTGCGCTGGCATCTTTTAGTTCCGGTCTGGATGATCCGATCGTCCGCAAACTGAACACATCAGCCTGCCAGTGGCGGCATCTGAGAAAGTTCCATGGTGGCTTCAAACGGCTCGGGCACTCTCGGGTCGCCTCTTTGGCTGCGGAAGGTCTGGCACCGCCTGCAAACTGAAAGCCAAGAACTCCACGGAGGCTCGAAAAGACATCTGAATGCCAAGAAGCTTCCGTCCAAGGGGGGGAAAAACTCTTGCGCCAAGCTGTGAGGGGTAGCTCTATTTAGCTGCAACGGTAGTCGGTCATCAACGTGCTTCGGCGAATGACGACGCAGGCAACGCCAAAAAGGCCAGCATCATGAGTATGGCGGGTACTTCATATTGCACGAGCACCCTCCTCGGAGCTTTCGCGATCAAAGATGACAATAATGGAAGCTTGGTACACGGGTACACGAAGGAGCGGCACTTGCTTGCGATGTAGCAACTCTGGACGCAACAGAAAAATCAAAGATGTATGCGCCTCTTACCCAGTGGAGGAACAAGGCACACACCAGCACAGAGAGCCGGATGACACAACATAACTCAATTTATACGGATCAAGGCTTCCAGTGTAAGGGCCCCCCAGGGACGACGACCATGTAACATGGAAGGTCGAGTCAGCACTCTCCATCATCAGGGCCGAAAGCCATCAAAACGACATCGACGACTGCCTCTAGTCTCAACCCGGACGGGACCGTTGCCTGTTACGATGTGGCCAGACCAGGTCAGCAAAATTGTGGTGCTTGCAGCTATGGCAATGATCAATAAAATCGGCCTCCTGTCTGGTGCTATGTCGACCTTTGTTCGGCTCCTTCGCAGCCAGCAGTGAAGACGCCGCCAAACAACTGTGCCAGAAATGGTAGAAAGTCCTTGCCAGAGCGCCGCGTGTCTTCTGTACCCTTCGCACCGCTTGAAGTCGACGGAGCTTGTGGCTTGTCCTTCACTAAACACACATATAACACAGACCCAAGAGATTTCTCAACCTCGTGCCACGTAGACGCCGTGCCTCCATGGTCGGGCGCGTGTCAGCTCTCGCTCTCGGAGCAGGCGCAGGCGCGGGAGGCGCGGGAGGCGCGGGGGGCGCAGGCTCGTCTGGAATTTCCCGCTTGACCTGCGAAAGTCTAAGAGGATTCTCCTGTCCGGAGGCTTTGTGCCAGGTCGGCCTTTGCAAGGGGTGCTTGCACTGGACGCTGTGCTTCCGGAGCTGCCGGAGCCTGAAACAAGCACAGAGTACAGGTAAACCTTGGTCATCCTTGGTCAGTAGCTTTGGCCAGGCAGCATGGGGCGTCTCGCTGGGTTTGGGCTCATCTTCGTCTATCACGACCTTTTGGCAGACAAGCTTGAAATCCGCATGTACACAAAGACACCACGGAGGGAGCCTGCTGACTTTTCTGATAGCGCTTGCAGGAAGGACACTGTGGGCCGTCTGATGGACCGCATCTGCCTTGGCAACAGCCGATCCGCTTGCAGCAAGCATAAGTCCAGCTCAAGTATCTGCTGAGACACTTGTAAGCTTTCGCAACTATGGCTTGGCAAAAGCCAATGCCTCTGCTGTCCTCATGCCATTTTGCCATTTTGGATCCACTTGACAAAGCAGAGCTTTGGAAAGGTGAACTCATGGTCTGATCCGAAGAGCTTGCCGGTGGGCATGTAAATGCTTCCCGATCAGTTCAGGGTCGGAGGTCAATGTGCTACCCAGCAGGAAGCTCAAGAAGGACAAGAAAACAGTCGCAAAACCGTGTACCGCAACTCAGGTTCCGCTTCAGGACAGAATGTACCGGAGAGCGCGGGTGGTTGTGGGACAATCGGCACACAACGAGCTTTGGTCATGAAGACAGTCGGAGTTGTGTCTCACTGTCTCACCAGATGTCCGATGGCAGGAACTGTCTGCATCCGGGTCGGACAGAAAAGAGCAAAGGACATTGCAGGACACCCAACTGACCGCAGCGCAATCGCTCAGGGCCCTGCCATCCGAATCTGGAATGACTCGGACGCCTGAGCCACGACATGCCACGACATACCAGAACTGCTTGAATCTAGAGCTGTCCGGCAAGCACTCGCTCTCTCGCTACATCCTGCTCCTGTAGCCAACAGACGGATCAGGCCGTGATGCACACGGGATCGGAGACAAGAACAGGCAATCCGTTACACGACGCCGTTTCACATCCCTCGAAACCGATTGCCCCTGCTAGCGGTCTTACCATGTCTTACCCGCCCTCCCCCCCTTGAATTTTGAAATAGGGGCTGCGGCATCAGGCTGTCAACGTTGCCGCCGCAAACTCGCCGTTTGACTAATGGGGCTTTGGGATGTATTCGTTTGGTTCTGATTGATAAACGCTTGTCATTGACGGGATCCTCGTCGGCGACAGCAGGATAAAGCTCCCCTCCCTGGTGAGGGCAACGGAAGCGGGGAGGGGCAGGGGTGCGATGGAAAGGATTCTTCATTACATGAAGGCTTTGCTCGGAAAAGCGATACATACTTCAAAGATGCACACAGAGACACGCGAAGACGCGCTAAAGCCCTTTCATCAAAGCGCACCCAGCGCTACAGAATCTGTCAAGGCCGAGTCGATGCATGTCAGAGCATTACATTACAAGCCGCTGCCAGGACAACTGAAGAGCAAAAGCATTTACAGTGGACAGGAAATCATAAGGGCCTGGGCACGCTGCATCAGGAGCATCCTATGACATACTGCAGCACGAATGACTGACGCCCGTCAAGAGCTGCTGCAGTTACAACGGTGGAACACTTTATCAACACCTCGAGTGAAATCTCCGCTCCGAACCAGCCGGCGGCCGCTGGCGGTAAAAAAGCTTCTTTTCTGTATACTATCTTCCTAATGTTCCCGATACATGTAAGCATCCTGCATCAGCTTGGCAACATACCTTTTTGGCCTTTTCCGGACAACACAATTCGGGACGTGTAGGACCGAAGAACTGACCTGAGGGTCCGACCCAGCACTCGGCCACAGTAGAATAATCCAGTGTAGCCTTTCAGCGACCGGCCAAGCAAGCACTCTTTTGACCTGTTGATTGACAGGACTGATTCCAACTTCGATGCTGCGTTGCTCCTTACGCTACCTATGCTGAAGACTTCTCAAACACAGGACATGCAGGGTGTTCAAGCATGAGCGGAAATCGTTCCCATAATGTTGGCGACGGACTTGACAAAACCGTTGATGCCCGAACAGGTTCCGACCTTAGAGCTGTCAATTTTCGGAAACCTCCAATGTGGCCTCGCTGGAATGCCTGCCTCCCCACTCCTGTCCCCAGGGCAGGCTATCCAAGACTACATGTGATTCATATATATATATATATATGTATGTATGTATGTATGTATGTATGTGTGTATGTGTGTATGTATGTATGTGTACATATATATATATACATATATATATGTATATATATATATGTATGTGTCTGTGTGTGTCTGTGTGTGTCTGTGTGTGTCTGTGTGTGTCTGTGTGTGTCTGTGTGTGTCTGTGTGTCTGTCTGTGTGTGTCTGTGTGTCTGTGTGTGCGTGTCTGTGTGT